ACGAAACTTTTAAAGTGCGGGTAGTTTTGTTCAGACATTAGTTGGGGTAATTGTCCTTCTGTAAGAACGAAAAGCCCTGTATCCCTCATTAATTTGGCCCTCAGGATGTACACAGGTTGGGCGTCTTTGTCCTCTTAGAAAATGTGTCATAAAAACTATGAAAACAAACAATGAACTTCTGAAAAAGCTGCTGTTAACATCCCTATTATATAAAAACCTTAAATATGCAATTTCACTTTTGTACAACTCTTCGTTTTTAAGCTAGACTGTTAATAAACACATCTTATTTATTTATTAGTTGTACATATTTGTGGTTCACAATAAATTTGCCATCTTGGTATTCAGCAAATATGATATCAATGAGAAGAATAACAAAACAAAAAAAAAATGTAGCAAAATAACACATACATTATAACATAATAACAAATACACACACAAAAAAGATAATGCAGCAAGTAGCTCAATGCAATAAGTCTCTTGGCCAGCGCCTCAGCAGTCTTCTGGGCGAATTATATGGATTTGTGGTAGTAGATAGAGCTTGAGTAAGGGGATAGGAATTTAGAATCAGTCTGTCATGAAAATTATTAAAGCGGTCAGTGGCAGTTGCCGTGATGAAAGGAATGTTATTGTCAGTGTGTAACGTGAGGTTTGAAACATAAAAGGGTGCGTCTACAATTTTCCGAAGGACTTTTGACTGGAATGACTGAATGATTTTTATATTTGATTTCTTTGCTGTTCCCCATAGTTCGATCCCATATGTCCATAGTGGTTTAATGAGGACTTTGTAAATAGTTACTTTATTAGTCACAGATAATTTAGAAGGTCTGTCAAGTAGCCTAGAAAGAAGTCCGTATCGCTGATTAAGTTCTTTTCTTTTTTGTTTTATGTGGTATGTCCATGTCAGTCGTTTGTCCAAGTGGAAACCCAAATATCGTACAGTTTTTGAAGGTGGTAGAGCGATATTGCTCCAAGAACACTGGAGAACAAGAGTCATGTTTAAGTGTAAATGAAACAAATTGACTCTTAGACTCGTTCATTTTTATTCTCCACCTTTTAGCCCAACAAGCTATGTCGTCTAGGTGTTCTTGAAGTACCTGAGAGGCCTTAGCTGCATCCTTGTTAGATGTTAATATTGCCGAGTCATCAGCAAATGTAGCCAACAATGTTTCAGAATGTTGTGGGATATCTGCACAGTAAATGTTGAAAAGTGTTGGACCCAAGACACTGCCTTGAGGTACTCCAGCTTTTATTTGTTTGATGACAGAAAACTCAGTCCCCATTTTCACACGGAAAAATCTATCTTTTAGATATGATAGTAAAATTAAGTAATACGTTGAAGGAATGATCGTTTTTAATTTATGTAACAAACCATTGTGCCATATTCTATCAAAAGCCTGACTCATGTTAAGAAAAACGCCACACACAGACCATTTTGCGGGACTTGGTTTATTGGATTCAGGGGACCTCAAAACGTTTATTTCCGTTGAAAACTGAGATTAGAAAATTTTCACGATCGCATTACTTTTCTTTACTATATATTTCATGTATAGGTAAGTGAAAGTAAAAAAATCAGCATTTAAGCCCTATCAGATTATTCTATACTATACAATGAGGATAATTACTAACTGATATTAAAGGCCATTCAATTTTATATCGATATGAAGAGTTTAATCAAAATGGTTAGAGTTAGAGCTAGAAAATTTTATAAACATATAAACACAACAATTTAAAGTAGCACTTGTTGATTGTCTATTTTAGCAAAAAATCTCATGTAACATATCTGGTATATACCTAACTCAAATACATAATTTAAGTGTTGTACGTTTTTTTTGTTTTTACTGTTTGGAGTTAGAGGACCTTAAACCATGTATTTCTGTTGTAAACTTGAAGTCAAAATTTTTCACAATCGTAATATTTTCCCTTAATATTTATTTCATATCTAGGTAAGTTAAAGTAAGATATTGATTATTCCTATCAATCTTAAATTAGTTCTAAAGCCACAACTCTTAGAGATGATGGTGCAATAAGATTAGTCCTTAAAATTTAAATATCTAATAATATATCAGAAACGTAACATTGAATAGTAGAGATGGGCGATAATCGATAGTTTTCACTATTGATAGTTCATTAACTTCCAGCCACAGACTTAACGAGGATTTATTTTTGAAATATTCTTTATTTATTTACTTTAAAATTTTACATAAGCTTCATAACAATAATTAACATTTATTTTGGTAGATTCTTAAATGTTGATTTAGGCTCTAATACAAATAATTAAATCAACAATTCAAAAATTTATTGAGAAGAAAATACATCTATTTAAACAAAAAATTAATTTTTTCTAATTACATTTCCATGAAGGTCAAATTCAAACTTGAAACAGTTATGACAATATATAATATTGTTTTAACTACTTGGTGAAAAAAGAAAAGAAATGTTTATGTCTTTCTAAATTTAATTTGATAATATTTGTTTCATCATTATAGATTTTATGAGTATTTTCCATTTGCATCACAACTGCATGTGTAAAAATATAGTCACAAGATCCATTGATATGGTTATAGTTTTAACTATGTTTTTTTGAAGAATAGTAGATCATAATGTATTTTATAATATATATTATATATCAATTATTCTATAATCATAGGTTTGTAATCAAATCCTGCTCTACTTGTATCATGAATAATTTAAATTGTATAATATTTGTTTGGGAATGAATAGTTTCTTTTTCAGCAGTCCCTTAAGATTACTAAAAGACCCCCCAAAAAAACCTGTACTATTTATTACAAGGCCAACGGTTGTTCTGAGAAGTGATTGGGCCAAGATCACGCTGCCAGAAGGGTCTCCTGTCCCCAGGGTCGATCCACGGCTAATGAAAAATTACAAGTCATCAGCCGGACTCGAACCTTCTTCGATCTAACCTAATTCGAAAGTAATTTTGATCTTGAGCTCCTTAAAAGATCTAAAAGACTTTCAAATATCAATTTATTATAAAAAAAGGCTCTATTTTTTATGGAGATATATTTTTAAGTCTCCCAAAGTGACCTCCACACTGGTACAGGAGTGTAAACAGACTTTGGAGACACTGGCTTGCACCAAGAGGGTAGAACTAGTGTGGGTTCCTGGTCACAAGGGAATTTAAGGCAATGGAATAGCCGATGCCCTTACAAGGAAAGGAGCAGAATTTCCTATTGTAGGTCTGGAACCTGCAAAAAGAATATCCAAAAAAAAACATCAGTGGAAAGAAGTCCTTGATTGGACTTGGAAAAGAGCAGGTAAATAATGGAAGAAATGCACTGGGCTTAGACAAGCTAAACAATTTATCAAAAGCCTCCCCCTCCAAAACTAAGTGGCTGCTGGGCCTAACTAAAAAAAAGAAATCCAACTTATCATCGGGGTACTAACAGGCCACTACAGACTTAAAAGAAATTCAAAGATCTGTGGGATAGTGGATGGTCAACTCTGCAATCTGTGCAGAACCTGCCCTTCACTTCATTACAGAAATGTGACCGATTTGCGTCACTCGGATGCAGACTTCTAGGCACATACAGAATCCAAGTATGCAAAGCTACTTCCATAAAATAGTCCAAATTTTGAACTTCATTAGAAAAACAACAAGGTTTGAGACATCGTTGGAGGTATAATAGACTGCCATTGGTAGTATCATCTTTGGGGCTGGAAAAAAGGACCAACCCTAAGCTGGACTAAGTCCCCCCAACTTTGCCATTACCAGTATGGTTTTGTGAATTTTTACCTTATTTATCTATGAAAAATTCCTCTACTTAACCTCAATAACCGTCCCATCCATTTTTTTCCCTACAGTCAAAAACCTAGGAGTAACTTTTGACCAGAACCTCTCCTGGAATAACCATATCTTCCAGATTACCCGAAAATCCATAACTGCCCTTAAATAACTCCTAAGATTCCTCTAAAAACCAGACAGCTCCTTGTAACCTCCCTTATATTCCCACACTTCGACTGCTTGGTGTATGGAGGGCTATCTGCCAGGATAGAAATGAGACTAAAGAGACAAATGAATTGTTTCATAAGATACATCTTCGGGATCCCCAGGCGTTCACGTGTTTCACTATGGTACACCGAGTTGAAGTGGCTTTATCCTACTTCCCGACCACAATTCCTCCTTGGTGTTTTCCTTTTCCAAGTCCTCAGAACCAAAAACCCTCCCTACAGCCTGGAACTCCTTACTCTACGCTCCTCTATCCACTCTCTCAATACTAGGTCTCAACCTATAGACTTATATATTCCCTTCCATAAAACTTCCTCCTTCAGCAAATCCTTTATCATTCGTGCTGCTTCCTTATGTATCTCACTTCTTATCTCCATGCGTCAATCCTCGTCCACAAATTCCTTCAAACAACTCCTGTTCCAACACCTACTCCACATTCAAAATCACCCTAACATGCAAAATTACTTGCATCTGTACAATGTTTAATTTCAATCTATTGCACAATTGAAATAACAATTAACAGTAAATTAGTTGGTATTTTGATTATGTCAGACTAAGACCCATAAATTTGTAACTCTGTTATTACTCTTAGGGGACAGTAGTCCCAGAATAAAATTTTTTTTCATTTCATTTCAAAAATTTAGTAAGTACATTAAAATCGCACAAACCATATTATGCATCAAAAATAGTTAGTGTAAGTGCACTAAGTTCTGATTTCAAAGAGAGAAAATTCATTAAATTATTTATTGATCGACACTTATAAATTTTATTTTATTTAATAATTAATATGCTAGAGCATACAGATTTAAGAGCTAGAAGAACTCTTATAGCTTTTCTTTTATCTTCAATGATTTCCATATTAATGGTCGAATTTAGTCATCATGCAACATACCCACTCTTGTTCTATTTTTGTTTGCACATCTATCTTTTTATCATCCATTAGTATTTTCAAATGAAGTTGAAATATTTCCCTAAGCAATTATATTTATAGAAGTAATGGCTGATTTCTATAAAAAAAATATTGTGTTTATAGGGGTATCGGTTTCCGTTCCGAACCTGACGAGAGGTCTGAAGAGCGACTGACCGAAGGCAACAAGGGCCACCAGATGTTGAAGAAGATGGGCTGGTCTGGGGCTGGCCTCGGCGTCAAAGAGCAAGGCATCGAGACTCCCATCCAAGGAGGAGATGTAAGTATTATTCTTCATCTTAAATTTTATTAGTATTTCATTATTAGTGGTCTGGATTTTATTTATGTTTATGTTTTTTTTCCACCATCAGACACCTTTCTGGAGTCCTTTTATATATATATATAACATATATATTATTACAATCTTCAAATCTTATTTATTTATTTTAATATTCTACACCATCTACACCGGCGCGATAACACATCTAGCAAATTTAATTCTTCTATTTATTTGCTTGATTTGGATTAATTTTATTATTATTCAAGATGTAGGTATCTTGGTCATTTCCTTTTTAATCTGCGTGGAGCAGGTAACAGGGAGGAGGTAACCGAAAGAATTAGTCGATTGAAGTAATTTTGAGTTAAAGAATGAAATGTAGTGTATTTGTCGTGGTTGCAGGATTTTACTTTTGGAGTATTTAAGTGGTACAGTGTTATTTGAAATATATCAAGGTGCATTAACAACTTTTCATAGAATTTTTGTATTGTGTTTGTTTTGTCGAACCCCCAAGTTCTGCTCTGTTTGTCCAAACTGGTCTCAGAAAAGGGTTGTAAATCATTCGTTTGGTGCATAAGTTAAATGAGGATCTGCAGTCCATAAGATGTGAGAGTTGATTATATCGTTTTTTCGGTTCTTGATTGTTTAATTTCGTATATATGTTGTGCTAGTAGTAAATTTTTGTCTTAGTCGAGTCCGAGGTGTTGTACAGAGCTCAGTCCCTAACTGTACCTAGCTAGATCAACTTATAATAATGATCACCATGGCACCCAGTTTATTTATAAAATACCTAGTAAATAATTAATTGGTATCATAGAATTTTAAAAATAGTTTCCAGTCAGTCTTCATCATTATTTTTTTCTAGAATGAAAATTAAATTTAAAAGTTTGTAGTTTTGCATTAAACTTATCTTACTGCTAGTTTTGTGCTCTTATGCCAGTCTCCTATTTTATTTTATCATGAATGGACCTATGAAATGCAGTGTGTAAATTCCAGATTATTGTTATAAATAAAATAAAAGGATTAGCGAAACCGAAGGTTCGATGCCGACATCATTAATCTCTGTCTACACTCCTCCCAATTTCGTCTCGGTCCATCCCTCGGACATTTACTTAAATTTTCAGATAAATAATTACCGACTCTAACTTTATTGAATGCTTCTGTCAAGCAGTTCAGATTATCTTTTATATCGTATATATTACTTATCTAGAAATTTCACATCTGATATACATTTTGAATGTATTATTAAATAATTATTTATTAATATCGGGTATAAGCAATACTTTTTTATATGTTTAAATTATTGTTTTTATTATCATTATTAATATGAAACAATGATAAATCTAGGGATAACATTAATAAATTGGATTAACATTAATAAAGGAATAACATTAATAAATAAATAACATTAATAAACATTAATAAATTTAAAATTATTTATATATTTTAATTTTTTTATTTATTTGACCGCACCCTCGACTAACTCCTTCTCATATCGTTACAAATAATAAAGTTTCAATGAACATCTCCTATTATAAAATCCCTATAATTTTTTTTCCAGATTCGTGACAGGAGCGACCAGTACAAAGGAGTCGGAGTGAATTTGAACGATCCCTACGAAAACTTCAGAAAGAGTAAAGGACAGGCATTCATAACTCGAATGAAGGCTCGGGCAGAAGAGAGGTCTTGATTATCGGAGATTGCACCAGGAATTGGCGACATCCCTCTCGACCATTTGTCGCAATGATAAGACTATGACTACGTATCGGTGTCAGTGCTGAAAACTTACGTCTCCTTAGTCTCTTTTCATCGGTACCTGACTGCTTTAAATCCAATCGAGCAGTTGTAGACAGATAGCAGTGGTGCTAAAGTGTCGCAATACGAGAATAACTTGGTTCTACTTGAAGCTATTGCCCTGTAGGACTGGTCCACTCTGCTACCATAGCTAATAGAAAATTTTATATATATATATATACATTATTTATTATAGTTCATTTATTATCAGAAAATGTTTTTATTTAAACTTAACATTACACATTGAAGTTTTCAGATTTGTATTATCTATGTTAGATTTAAAAAAAAGCATATCTTTTAAGTGTAATTATTTACACTACCTCAAAAAATAAAAGGTTAACATAATCGATGCATTTAAATAATTGAAAAATTTAATTAATTAAGAGATGCTCACCCAGGAGTGTCCGGCCTAGGAACATCTAACTTCAAAATTATCAAGTAGCTGTCCGGAGAGGTTTTTAGTCATATAAAAAAACAAATAAGTTCATTTTCTGAAATGTATTTGATATATATTACTAAACTACTTACTGTCTCGTAGCCTACATTGTACAGTCGTCGTCATACAAATTGTATCACCTAGGAAAAATTGTATTTTATTTACCAGATCGCTATCTGCAAGATCTCAGCATATTTCTTTGCCAGTTTTGAAACAATATTCTAAAAATAATCACACCATTAAGCTGTCAAATTTTTTGTTTGTTTTATTCTTCCCGTTTTTTTTCAAAACTATGACTACCGTTGATTGGTGATACCCTATCCTCGTTATTATTTCCTGTGGAAATTCCTTTACTTCATGCTTTCTGATGAGGACAGTTTTTGATATAGATCATAATTACAGCTTTTATTCTGACAGTTAAAACGGAACTGAGAAACTTTGTTTTAAAGTTTTCTTTTACCTTAATAAGCAAAGAAAAAAAAAACATTCAATGGAATCAACGTTATAAACATAGAATAAAAATAAATAGGTGATACCATTTCTATGACCATGACTGTATTAATTATAGTATAATTAATTGTTATTAACTGTTTCAATAATAAAAATATATAAAGGGCAGCGTCAGAAAAAAATGATGCCGTAGAAGACTGTATTTTTTTAGTCAACAAAAGAAATCGTGACTAATGATTAAATTTCGAGTCCCTAAAAATTTAATTGTTATTCATGATTAATATTTTAGTCATAATATTGTTCATGACAAATTCAGAATAAAACTTTAGAAAAAATTAAAAATTAAATCGAAACAGTCAGATCATGTCTGATTGTTATTGTAAACAATGAACTGTTAAGTCATTTGCGATGGAATTAACAATGATGAGCGAGTAATTTGTGATAGCTCCATTATTATTCAATAATACATAGTACAAACTGAATACTTGACACAAATATGAATCTTGTAAAAGTGTTAGTGCAACAAAGATTTTGGTTATTCAGTTTAATGTTCAAATAATTTGTTGTAGTATTGATATGAATAAAGTTTATAATTATTGACTCAAAATTAATCAATCTATTCAAGTTTTTTAGTATTTTTTCTCATAGGATACATTTTTAGTCATTTTCAATAAACTTTATTTGTGATTAAAAATTTAGTCATTTTTTCTTAGTTGGGTAAAATTTTAATGGAATAATACCCAACTCTGAAAAAGGGAGACTTTTTTTTTTTTTTAAATTAATCACCTATACTATATAGAAATAATTATTGTGAAAATAGCAGGGTATTACACGGTTTATAATATTGGAGTGAAGAAAAAATGTCACACCTCAATAAGGGGAAGCTTTGGTTATAAAATGTGCTATAAGTTATAGCATTCCTGAGATGACAAAAAATCTTTTATTGAAAAGACAATCTTTCATTTTTTTTTTTAATTTAAAAAATGTTCTTATTAAAAATTTGATTCAATAACATAACTGTGTTATGTTAAAAAGTACTATCTAGTTATTAAAAATCAAATTATCTATTACACTTTTACTGTAATATATTGAATTTTGTTGCGTTTCTTATCTGTTATATGCCATTTTTATCCACAGTAATAATAAATAAAATCTTTAGTCTTGATTTAATTTAAGTTTATGAAATCGGTAACTTATAAATTATCCTTCCTTAATAAGAATTCTTTCCAACTGTTAAGTGCGCCTGGTCTAACTATATGGTACAAATAAACTTATGTAAATATTTATGTACAAATTTATATATGAATGTTGTGACAATTATTTTCTTGTCATATTATATTAAAATGGGATAATTCTAAAGAAAAAATTCAATTTTTTTTTCCCATTGTGAAAAAGATAAATGATTTAAGATGTCAATGTAATGTGAATTAATTTTGAAAAAATAATATATGTATAAACCTTTTTTTATATGAGAAGTTAATTGAAAAAATTATCCTTTCAATAATTAACTCCTTGACTGCGGATGGGATACATGTCTTCCCGGTAGTGAGTTGAGTCACTGCTGCGGCCAGGATATATGCCTTCCCGCCTGGACGGTCACCACTTAAACAGGTAAGGGCAAGTCCCGCCTTCGCCGATTGACTTGTGGCTTGGTCGGTGCTTTCATTATTACTCTGTAGCTAACTCTTAGTCGTTCCAGATTGTGACCATTTGGAAGCTATCAGTTGTATATTTATTCTGAACCCAAGGTATGCCCTTTCTCTATTATTTGTTTCATATCCATGATCTTATTTAAATGTTTTATACATGAATAAATATTTTGACTGAATGCTGATTTTGGTACACGTGAATCTCGTGTCTATTAAACAAATGAATGTAAGTTTCCTACATTATATATATATATATATATATATATATATATATATATATAATAATTAAATTAAAAAATATTTGTATATCATTTTTCCATCGACTTAAAAACTATATATATATATATATATATATATATATATATATATATATATATATATATATATATATCTGATATATTATAAAAGTGTTTTTAGCTCAAAATAAATAAAAGTGCAATAATAAAATTTATAACTTCACTATTTTCAATATGGAACATTTTTAGTTAAGAAAAAAATGTCTAAATACAAAGAAATATATAATTCCCGCTGTGTGTTCTTTTTTTTATGAACAATATAATTTAATTTTTACGATAACTTAGTTATTTTCAGTTATGTTGCTTTTCAAAAATGAGCAAATATGCAAGAAAGCGAAATACTACAGGATTGCCGCTGTAATTTTGCATTGCTATGTGCTGTTAGGAAGGCATATATCCCGTTTTTTGAAAGTTGAATAAAAATGTTAAAATGCATTTTCGAAAGCTAATACCTTGCAGGGCGACTCAAAATTAACATATTTATAAAAAAGAAAAAAATCAGTTTTTTACCTTGTCTTTGTGGATTTCAGGATGCAACGTATGATAGAAACTCGTGAATGAGCTCCCGTAGTCAAAGGATTAATGTCATTTAAAAATTGTCAATACATAGATGTGTTGAGAATTGGACTAAATTATATTTTCCAGGCTACAAATTGTTTTTATATTCATTACACAAATTATAGTGGAGTGGAGCACTGGATCATTTTGTGGTTTTCGTATGGTTTTTTTGTAAGAAGAAAAACGCAAATTCTTCTCAATATTTTAGACACATGTTGCTAAATACTATTTGAAAAATAATAAACTACTAGCAGGCCCGTGCGAAAAATTCGCACAGCGTATGCCAGATTAATAATAAAATAAAAAATGCAACCTATCAAAAGATAAAGAAATCAAACGTTACTTTATCGATAAATATAATCGACAAAGAAAACAAAAATTAATTTAAATCTTCATTAATGATTGGAACCAACATGTTCACAAATTTCAATAACCTGTATCTTTGGTAAAAATAGTTCGATTTGATGATTTTTTTTTTTTGTGTAGGGAATTTAGTAATCTTTTATATAATCAGGGCATAACCAAGGGAAAAGTGTGTAATTTTTTAGTTATTCGCAAATAAAGTTTGTTTTCTTTCATAACTTTTTTGCCTGAATTTTCGGGATGATTGGACTATTTTGCCCGCCTGAAGAAGAAGGAAGCCCTCGAAATTGGTGGCTCAATCTTGAGATTTGGTGAAGAATTAACGATGATATGGCTTGCCGATCAAAAACACCGTCTATAAATATTATAAACTCCTCTCTCGATCATAGAGACCTCTAGTCGACGAAATGAGACATGTATTCAATGACAGTTCCACAATTAATGTAAGGCTGTGTAGATGTGCACCCTATGCCTTGCGTTATCTCGAAAATAGTACGTTTTTGGGCTTAAAAACGCAGGATCCGATAGTTCTGGAGGAACTATCCGGGTCTTGCTGTACGCATCAAAATCTTCAAGGTCCGATTTCTTCCCGTATCGATCTACAGACCTACCACCGTTCCAGTATTGAAGCCTAGCAAAATGTTTGTATCGACTTTATTTATTTTAGAAAGAAAAACAAAAGCGGAGAATACAATTCGCTAACCCCCCGTGAAATTCTGATTCCAAAGGTACCCCATTCATGGTATTTGAGCATGACAGGAGCTTATATTTGGTACAAAACCGATTTCGAGCCTTACTGTAATAATATATGTACGGATATGGAACATTTTTAGTTAAGAAAAAATATATAATTCCCGCTGTCAGTGTTCTTTTTTTTATGAACAATATAATTTAATTTTTACGATAACTTAGTTATTTTTGTGATTATTTTCAGTTATGTTGCTTTTCAAAAATGAGCCAATACGGAAGAAAGCGAAGTGTTATGGGATTGCCACTCTAATTTTGCATTGCTATGGCTGCTAGGAAGGCATATATCCCGTTTTTTTAAAAAGTTGAATAAAAATGTTAAAATGCATTTTTTAAAGCTAAGATCTTGCAGGATGACTCAAAATAAACATATTTATAAAAAAGAAAAAAATCAGTTTTTTACGTTGTCTTTGTGGATTTCAGGATGCAACGTATGATAGAAACTCGTGAATGAGCTCCCGTAGTCAAAGGATTAATGTCATTTAAAAACTGTCAATACATAGATGTGTTGAGAAACGTAAATTGAGAATTGGACTAAATTATAATACTTTCCAGACTACAAATTGTTTTTATATTCATTACACAAGTTATAGTGGAGTGGAGCACTGGATCATTTTGTGGTTTTCGTATGGTTTTTTTCTAAGAAGAAAAACACCAATTCTTCTCAATAATTTATACACATGTTGCTAAATACTATTTGAAAAATTCGCACAGCATATTGTTATCAAATGCCAGATTAATAATAAAATAAAATAATGCAACCTATCAAAAGATAAAGAAATCAAATGTTACTTTATCGATAAATATAATCGACAAAGAAAACAAAAATTAATTTAAATCTTCATTAATGATTGGAACCAACATGTTTACAAATTTCAATAACCTGTATCTATGGTAAAAATAGTTCGATTTTTTTTATTGAGTAGGGAATTTAGTAATCTTTTATATAATCACGGGCATAACCAAGGGAAAAGTGTGTAATTTTTTAGTTATTCGCAAATAAAGTTTGTTTTCTTTCATAACTTTTTTGCCTGAATTTTCGGGATGATTGGACTATTTTGTCCACCTGAAGAAGAAGGAAGACTTCGAAATTGGTGACTCAATCTTGAGATTTGGTGAAGAATTAACGATGATATGGCTTGCCGATCAAAAACACCATCGATAAATATTATAAACTCCTCCTCTCTCGATCATAGAGACCTCAAGTCGACGAAATGAGACATGTATTCAATGACAGTACTACAAATAATGTAAGGTTATGTAGATGCGAACCCTATGCCTTGCGTTTTCTCGAAAATAGTACATTTTTTTACTTAAAAACACAAGACCCGATAGTTCTTCAGGAACTATCCGGGTCTTGCTGTACGCATCAAAATCTTTAAGATCCAATTTGTCCCGAATCGATCTACAGACCTACCACCGTTCCAGTATTGATGCCTAGCAAAATGTTTTTATCGACTTTATTTATTAGAAATAAAAACAAAAGTGGAGAACACGATTCGCTAACCCCCCGTGAAATTCTGAATCCAACGGTACCCCATTTATGGTATTTGAGCATGACAGGAGCTTATATTTGGTACAAAACCGATTTCGACCCTTACTGTAATAATATATGTACGGATATGGAACATTTTTAGTTAAGAAAAAATATCTAAATACAAAGAAATATATAATTCCTGCTGTCAGTGTTCTTTTTTTCATGAACAATATAATTTAATTTTTACGATAACTTACAGTTATTTTTGGGATTATTTTCAGTTATGTTGCTTTTCAAAAATGAGCCAATACGGAAGAAAGCGAAGTGTTATGGGATTGCCGCTCTAATTTTGCATTGCTATGTGCTGCTAGGAAGGCATATATCCCGTTTTTTGAAAGTTGAATAAAAATGTTAAAATGCATTTTTTAAAGCTAAGATCTTGCAGGATGACTCAAAATAAACATATTTATAAAAAAGAAAAAAATCAGTTTTTTACGTTGTCTTTGTGGATTTCAGGATGCAACGTATGATAGAAACTCGTGAATGAGCTCCCGTAGTCAAAGGATTAATGTCATTTAAAAACTGTCAATACATAGATGTGTTGAGAAACGTAAATTGAGAATTGGACTAAATTATAATACTTTCCAGACTACAAATTGTTTTTATATTCATTACACAAATTATAGTGGAGTGGAGCACTGGATCATTTTGTGGTTTTCGTATGTTTTATTTCTAAGAAGAAAAACACCAATTCTTCTCAATATTTTATACGCATGTTGCTAAATATTGTTGGAAAAATAATAAACTATAAATTACGATATGCAAAAAATTCAAATCAGACATAAAGACAGTGTGTACATAGATAATAGTTTCAAAACGTTGGTGATATAATACTAACTCATTTCATGGAGCAATAAACAAAGTCTCAAAAGGATAAGAGAAAAAAAGATATATATTAATAGAAATATTTATTTAATAAAATTAATATAAAAATAGATTGATATATATATAAAAGTATTAAAAAATAACTTGTGGTAATAAATACATAAATATAAAGTTGAGATTGATAATTAATACGTAAATTGGACTGAAATTTTTTGATTCCTCGGTGGAGAAGGGCAGACTATTTGATGTTCTTGCTCCTAGGAGTAATCGGAGACCTGCTTGGCAGGATGCTCCTCGGAGCCAGGGGCGACGCGTCAGGAAGGACGTTCTTCCTAGGGGTCAGCCCTGAAGGTCCGCTGCTACCAACTGTGCCTGATGATCCAACTGCCACAGCTGTCTGTCTGCTTCCACCTAAAAGTACCTCATTATTAATATAAAAAATAAATAATTATTTATAAAATTTTAAAAGGAAAAAGGATTTTGATTATTTCAACTAAACTTGACCCGTTAGCACCTAAATTACTTTTTTTCCGAATTAAAAAAAAAAATCTTTTGACAATAATTGTAAATTTCAAATTTAAATATAAATGAAATTTTGGCTTTCAGTCTGTTGGTTTAACAAATTTTGTCTTTTACTCATTAATGCATGCAATACCATGACTGGCTTCTATTTTTTATAAATTGTTCAGTGCTACAATACTATATAACTTATTAAACTGAATATTTGTATTAAATATCCCCCACACAGCGACTTACAAGCTTAAAAAAAAAAAAAAAATGCAAGACACTCAAATTACATATTTAAAGTATGTATGTACCTGGTATGTTCAGTAACTTTTTCACAAAAAACAGACTGGCAGTGCCGTTCTATTCGTTGACGGACTTAACAATTTTTTTCTCAATAACAGCTTAACGATTTTGACCAAATTACATTATAAGATATGTTTAATATTTTAAGGACAGTGAACTACTGAAAGTCAAAAGCAGGGTAGGTTCCTGGGATGGTGAACTGCACTGCCATTTCAGTTGTTTTCAATTCTTTTCCAGTTAACGACGACATTGCAATTGGACCTTATACAAATCTAACATCATCCTAGGAGAGTTGTTATACCTAATCCCTGCCACTGCATAAAGGATTTAAGTGAATTTATAGGTCCCTGAAACCCGACCCAAAGTATTTGTCTACTTTTTCATATATTGTAATGTAAATATTACATTGTGATTTTAAATAGTGGCGCATGACGTCATGAACTACTATCAAAAATGGACAAAGAGAGATGGAAGAGCCATATGTTAGGGCAGAAGGTAACCAGCCAGCTAGTAAGGAGGTTCGAGAGAAGAAAAAGTGACCAACAAGTAGCGAGTGTCAATAAGGAAGAATAGAAGATTATAGAAGTTGAATACAACAATACAGAGGAGGGTGAGTGGAATATAAATAGTGAAAGTTGGAAAGCATGCCAAGAGTAGACTTCGACAAAATGAATGGAAATTCATAAATATGTTATATACAATTAATGTGTGCTTTTATATTGTATATTTGAGGAATGTGTGTTTGTTGTCTCAACCCAACCTGAGAAATAATTATTGTGTAAAATAAATATGATTTGGTTTAGAGACTTGGTTTACTTTTCAGAGGAAACGTAACTTAACAATAAATATATATATATATATATATATATATATATATTTACATGTCCCATATACCATTGGTATATACGTATTAATTATGAGAGCAGTTTTTCATTAATAAAAATAAACTTTCCTTTCCAGGAGCCTACTCGCCTTTCTAAAGATTAATTATTCATTTTCGAAATAAATAAAAATACTGCTAACAGTTATGCATTCACTTGTCGAGAAAGGTAAAGTACCAAGTTCCAAGAATAACAAAATAAACAAAAATAATTGTCACATGAAAAACCCTAGACAAATTAGCGACAGAGTTGATACTGAATTTAAAAGAAGACTTCACTACCTTGTAAAGGTCATCCCAGTTACGTTACTAGATGACAATGCCCAGGGTTAATGGGTTAAGGAATATTTTTAATAGAAGATCTGACATAGAAAGTTGTACTTACTCGGCCGTTGGTTGGGACTATAAGTTGGATCTATTGCCATTGCAATATTCGGAATCTCATTGATCCTAAAACAAATGACAAAAAAAAATTATAATTTTACAATTATTTAAGCATATATCTATTATTAACAGTTTTTAATAATAATATTAACCTGATAGGCGACGGCTGAGGGGTAAGCGTAGCAGAAGCAGCAGTTGTAGCTTGCAATTTCTTCGCTCGGGCACGTTCTCTAAACCTTCGGGCTCTGGCTTTTTCCTAAATCACATAACCAAATAAGTGAATTTAGTTTAACAACATAATATTAATATGGAACGAAACCATTAACTGCTACTATCGCAATGAGAGTATTTTGTTTAATCTGTTTTGAATTTGAACATTTTTTATTTACTTTATAAAAATAAAAACTTTAATTCAATGAAAATTCAAATAAATAAAACCACACCGTCACTTGAAAAACATATTAATAATAAAAATGATGTAGAGATGGTTGACCATTGATATAATATGAGAAGGAGTTAATTGGGGAATGCGGTCAAATAAATACTAAAATAAAATATAGTAATGCCCTGAAGACAGATGACCTGCAAAATGGGTCGAAACGTCGGCAAAATTTAAACAATTACTATATTTCAATTTAGTATTTATCTGATCGCACCCCCAAATTAACTCCTCATTAATAATAAAAGTATATTTTACTACGGGTATATATATTAACTTTAAAATAATACTTTCAAGAAAATTTCTTTTTTAAGATTTAACATCTCATTTTCATTTACAAAACGACCATAATGTAAAGGTGAAGAAATAGTTGACTGATAAGGTTGTAAAGTTGTTGGGGTATTTTAACGAGAAACCAATAAAAAAGAAAAAATTATTTTATTTTGTGCTGACGTTTTAGACTTTCATTTTCATCAGGGCTGAGGATAGACAATATAATAAATACAAAACAATTACCTTCTCTTGAAGATGCCTGGCAAGCTCCTCATCTTGGGCTTCGATAGCCAACTTGCGATCAAGGTCTTCCCTCAGTTCCTCTTCAAGTTGAAGTCGAGCCGCAAGCTCCTGCAGGTAACAACAAAAAACTAATAATATAATAAATAACAATAAAAACAAAACTTAAAGCATTACATGCGACACAGTTAAAATTGGATAGTAAGACATTGAGATAAGAATTTTCAGGCACTGGAATAACATAAAAGTATGTTCATACAAAAATATGGATTAATGGAAGAATGAATGAAGAGAAAATATCAGTAACATGAGCCAACGTAATCGCAGATTGAAGTATAAAAAACAAGGAAGTAAATTGATATATATATACATCATTTACACTAGTACATTTTTTTAATATTTTCGATTTTTTTATATAAAGGTAATATTAAATAAAAAACAAAAAGAAATTATGAAATATGGAATGTGAAACTTAAGTCCCGACAAAAAGCGGAGATTCCAATACTACAACAATTTTTAAAGACATACTTCCTAGTTTATATAAGCTCTTAATGCTAATAATAAAAACTGAAGTGGATATAAAAGACTAATAGACTAATATAAAGACTGAAATAGAGAAATTTAGAGGATAAAATACCATCAACACAACGTATTGTTAACAGAAAATAACATTGATTTAAATACATATTACATCTACAATGTCCGTAAGGTTAAATCAGTTTACAATTAAGAAAATAAAAATACTTTTAATTCGAAACATCAAACATTTTTACAAATATTTGGTTTGTTTGAAGACTTTTTCACATCACTATATGAAGGGATTTCAATACATCTTAATACATACATACTTACCAGAGCTTGATGATTATGTTGAAGAACAGCTAGGCGGACTACCACTTAAAGCAGTGACGAGTGTAACTCTAGTCACGGATATAAAAACGTGATACTAGATTTACACTCGTCTCCACAATAGGGTATATTATTCATAAAACTCTTGCTGGTATTTCTACACAATACATAATTATAAAAAGAATTTAAATAAAACAATGTGTTACAGACATCAATTATATTCTAATTAAACCTTATGAATAACTTAGCACTAGAGAAACAAAATATTGCGGATAACCTTTTAACCAAGCAGCCTACCTCTTTTTAACAATGTTTCACTTTTGTATTCACTCATATGAATTTGATTAGTTTAACATTACAACATTTGAACTTAAAAATGAACACTAATACAGGTTATGAGTTTTTATAATGAAGGCCTGATATCTAATCGATAAAATCTCTAGAATAATATTTCAGTGCAGATCTAACGAATAGTTTTTTTTTTTTTTTTTATAACTTGCGAGATCGCAATGATTATTACTTAAAATGTTGAAGATAAATCTACTTGTCAACATTAATTTATACCTTATCTAATCTCTCCTGTTCCTCTTTCTGAATATCTGAGATCTCTGGAGGTGGTGGCCAGTCGTCTTCCTCATCATCGGTCAAGCTCTCAGGCAACCTAATCAAATATCCATCTAAATTATTTTTATAGTTAATTTGTTGTTATAATATTAAAACTAATATCAACTAAAGTTTAATCAGTTTTCTCAAAACAAATTTTCTTTACTTAATAGTCGGTGGTACAGACCCCTTTATATCGAATTATTAACATCCGGCTGAAACTTCATAAATAGTTTCGGTACTTTTTGTCTAAGCGGCCGCTACTGACTGCTATCTGCCAATGTTTATAACCTGAACACTGATAACTTCCATAACGCAGTGATAAGCCTTCTCCTACTTCACATCTTCGTATTAAATTCGTATTATTGAAAGTGTAAACAGATACAAAAACAAATGTAATAACAACAAAAATACTTTTATTTGACTACAAATATATTAATGAAATAATAAAAAAACACTTTAAGAAGATATGTACATATAGAACATCAAAATGAAATTAAAAAAAACAAATTTAAAAGAACATATTTACATAGAAAAGAAAAAATATCAACACTATAAACAACGTATATACAAATTATTTTAAGTTAATTATTCACTTCCTTTTGCCTTTTTTATTTTGGAAGGCAAAATTGGTTTATGCTACTTAAAATAGCGAGGAACGGGTCCTCTTCTCTGTGAACCCGCTGCCACAAAAATTCCCACAAATATGAATCGAGGTGTTGTCTGGCAGTTCCTCTATGTACTTTATTTCTCCACTTAGCTGAGCCCCACAATCGTTCTATGTGTTGAGTATGAAGACGTGTGTTCTATGTGTTGAGTGAGTCAGAAGACTGTAAATCCCATATTCTAAGAAGATCCATAATATGACGAAAATAAAACGAAAAATAAACTGAATGAAAAATAATATGTGTTGAGTATGAAGATGTGTGTTATATGTGTTGAGTGAGTCTGAAGACGGTAAATCCCATATTCTAATCAGATCCATAATATGACGAAAATAAACAAAAAAAATAATTGAAAAATAAACACCAAGGGGTCACAAACTAAAAAAACTGTAAAATAAACACAAACGGGCCAAAAGTAAACAATTTAATAAGTGAACGTAATAAGGGAATAACTGAAAACTAAACAATGCAATAACTCAAAAATTTGGCGGGATAAGAAGAGGGAGGTTATGTGACATGATGACATGACGTTAGATAACATAGATAAGAAGTGAGGTTTCAAAACGGCCGCTTAGACAAAAAGTACCATAGTTTCATCTCATCGTAACCTACAACTATTTTATTCAACGAAAACACTTGGAATTGGGGCGTTTTCAATCTTGAGGAGGCCAGACTTTGTCTATTTAATTAGCTACTAAAAACTCGTAAATACTCATTTGCTTTCTTCATGGATCATAAGGTAATTTGATCACAAAATCGAGAAAAAAGGCGGCCTCCAAAAATATTGAGCCATTTGGCGTGACCTACACCCCAAATTTTCAAAATAACGAGGTTATATAGGACAAACGGTCTAATATTTTTGTAGGACACTTTTTTTTCTCGATTTTGTGATCAAATTATCAAGCGAATGGGTATTTACGAGTTTTTAGTACCTAATTAAATGGGCAAAGTTTGCGCCCCTCCAGATTGAAAACGCCCCAATTCCAAGAGTTTTCGTTAATAAAATAGTTGTAGATTACGATGAGATGAAACTTTTACGAAGTTTCAGGCGGATGTTAATAATTTGATAAAAAGGAGAATGTACCACGGACTATTAGTTGATCAGTTTTTGAACAATTCCTTCTCTTTTTCAATAAAAAATGTTTTCATACAAAATTGGTCTAAAAACTCCTTTTCCATTCGGAATCCGTGCATACATCAAACAAACTATTTTATCAAAGTTTTGTCTAGAATCACCCGGTTTATCCATTAAGAACTGAGACACCTTGTATATGCTGAAAACGAATATTAATTTGTTTCTATCGTTAAAAAAAAACTTTTCACCTTCTACACTTAATCAGACTACTGTTCATAAACTTCTTTATTCCAAACAAAAAAATTAATAGGAAAATGTGAAAAACATTTTTTTAAATTAAAGTAGAATAATAGAATAATCATGTAATTTTTAAAAGTTTAATGTTTTTTCTTCTAATGTCTTAAAACCCATTGGAACATCGCGTTATGTGTCCTATATTTTTCAATGTAAAATCAGTTAACTACGGCTTCTTGTAATATACAATTATAATTATTGCATAAAAGAGTTTTAACTTAGTAAATTAATAATTCCTGAGATACTTTATAGATTATTGCTTGAATTTTAAAACAAATTATTTTTTGATTTTTTAGAAAAAGGATTTAAAAAGCATAAAGACAACTGATGATTAATTAAGAAATATAAAGGGATACTTTTTGTCTAGTGGGCTGGCACGAAACCTCCTCACTTGTTATCTAAAGTCATAGTCACATAACCTCCCTCTTCTTACCCAGCCAAACTTTGAGTTACTGCATTATTTAGTTTTCAGTTATTCCCTTATCACGTTCACTTATTAAATTCTTTACTTTTGGCCCGTTTGTGTTTATTTTTCATTATTTTTAGTTTTTGGCCCGTTTGTGTTTATTTTTCATTTTTTTTTAGTTTGTGGCCCCTTTGCGTTAATTTTTCATTTTTTTTTTTTTTCCATTTATTTTCGTCATAATATGGATCTACTTAGAATATGGGATTTGCCATCTTCAGAAGAACAGGCAACTCAATATTTTCAAAATGTTGGGATACTTGCAGACGTGAAATTGTGCTGTTCCTCGCTATTTTAAATAGCATAAAACAATTTTGCCTTCTAAAATAAATAAGACAAAGTGAAAATAAATTGTACATATGTTGTTTATAGTGTTGATATTTTTTCTTTTCTATGTAAATATGTTCTTTAAATGTTTTTTTATTATTCCATTTTCATCTTTTATATCTGCATATGTTCTTCAAATGTTTTTTTATTATTTCATTTTGATGTTTTATATGTACATATCTTCTTAAAGTGTTTTTTTTTATTATTTATTTCATTAATATATGTCGTAAAATAAAAGTTTTTTTTTTTTTATTACATTTCTTTTTGTATCTGTTTGCACTTTCAATAATACGAATTTAATACAATAATACGAAGATGTGAAGTAGGAAAAGGCTTATCACTGCGTTATGGGAGTTATCAGTGTTCAGGTTATAAACATTGGCAGATAGCAGTCAGTGCTGGCCCACTACACAAAAAGTACCTATATAGGATTTAAGATATGTAGAAATAAGTTTGTTTTTTTTGGTATATAAATGTAATGTATTTTGTTTTGATTATCTATTCCACATTAGAAAAACTTGACTTAAGTTGCATCAAATGAATGCTACAATAAATAATTTGTTATTTATTATGTTTAAATTTTTAATAATCCCCTTAACTTTATTACCTCAACATCGATGAGCATGCGATAGGCATCGGTGGGGGCGAATAGGAGAACGGGGCCGGAGGCAAGCCGATCTCATTCATGTCTCCTGCTGGCTAACACAGAATACTTTGTAAAGTCAAGTCGCTATTTCATCATTTAATTATATTTCACTTAATTGCAATTCTATTAATAAATATTTATTTACAAAATATAAAAAAAGAAGAAAGAAAAGTAGTATATATCTAAATATATAGTTCTCCATAAAATAAATAACAGTTCATAGCCTGAAACTTTAAAAAATCAAAACAAACTACATTACCATCAAAGTATTTTTTCAAGTGCAAAGAATTTATCCATATTATATATAGCCTTTACCACTAACAACCCACGAAGGTCTTGGATTCAGTACAATGTGAGGAAGTACTGTTACAAGGCCAACGGTTGTGCAGGGAGGTGACGGACCAATATCACACTCAACCGTCAGGTTTCCCCCCTTAATTAATTATTTAATTAAGAGTACCACAGTTTAAAGAGGCTGGATGTTTGCCACAAGAGGGTCTCCCGGGAACAGGATCGACCCACGGCTGATGAAAAATTCCTAATCAGCCAGATTCGAACCTGGGAAGAACTTGAGCTCAGGAAATCAGTCCTCACCCACTGAGCTACCACGCCACCTTAACCATATTATAAATTAAAATAATGATGTAGATATAGTTGACCGTTGATATAATATGAGGAGTTAATCTATCCTAACGATATTACACTAATGTTACCCTATTAATCTTTCAATTTCTTTACTTCTTAATCTTTAGTCCCGTTATCTGTTTACCTACAATCAAATATAACCTCCAATAGCTTGTTATCCACTGATATCTTATTATTATTTTAACTTTACTATAACAATACTTATTCAATTTTCAATCTATTTATTCGTTAACATTTATTTTCTTTATCTGTTAACCCACAGTTATCTAATGTAATCTCTATTAGTTTGTTATACACTTATTCCTTATCTTTTATCGCAATCTGTTTACTTTTAACTTACATACTATATTCTCCTTTATGTTTATTTTTATTCATACTTATTTTCCATTTGTTTGTATCTTCTACATATATAATACTTAATATTTTAACTACATTGTCACCCACTATATCTCTGATATCATCTTTTTATTTCTGTATCTGACAACTTCTTATTTTATATCTACTTATATTTATTTTTTATTTTCAACATGTTTTGTATCTTTTGTAGCCCTGAAGACGACCTGCAAAGTGGGTCGAAACGTCGGCAAAAATTAAATAATTACTATATTTTAATTTAGTATTTATTTAATTATTAGTAATTATAGCAATAAATATTATTAGTAAAACAATTAAAAATAATATATTTTTTTTAATTAAGTATTTATGTGACCGCATCCTCCCCTCCCCCCCACCCCCGACCAACTCCTCATATTATATCACGGTCACCATCTCTATGTCATTATAAAAAATTAAGAAATACAAATTCGCATCCTGGGGCCGGGGGACTTTTAACTCTGGCAATAATTCTCTGTTGACCCAGGAAAATCTCATATAGACTAAAAAGCGACGACAAACAAAAAAAAACCTTTCTAATGAATTTTACATCCATAAATGAAGTTTCTCTTAATCCATTACAAAACACTTCTTACTTAAAAAATTACCCTCATATATTGAATTACCACTCAACGATATTAGAATTGTCAGTTTATTTCAATTAATAAAAATTTCTTAAAGTAACATATACTTTTGTCAGTGGATCTGATTAATGGAAATAAGACAGATTCCAATATTTGAGATAGTTCTACTGTAGTCTGATGCTCCATGTATCCATCAGTTCATACAAACTGTATTTTTGATATAATATTTAATCACAAAAGCAGATAGGCAAGCGAGAGAGGAATCTTAGAAATAACCACTCGATAAGAAATATAATTTTATTTTTATTTGTAATTCTTAATCCACAACATACTATTAATTATAATAAAATTTACTAATCACTAAATATAAAACTTAAATTAAAATATTTCACAGTCTTACCTTAGCACCAAGATCTTTTTTAGTAAGCTCCACAGCCAACTCTTTGGCTATTCTTCGGTCACGCTCTTCACTGTGAAAAAAACAAAAACTATAATAGTTTAACAACCTAAAATAGAATAATTTTAGCCCTTACTATTTTAAATATGTTTAACATAACATAAACATTATTAGGATGAATACTTATTACAGTAATAAGAAAACAACTGAAGGTAGAACTTCAGTAAGGAGCTTACGACAGAAGGTTATAAAAGGGGAAAAAACATTCACCATACAAAACTATATAGATATATATATATACAGCAAATACTAAAATGTGAAAAAGTTCAGCATTTGCAGATTGCATATTTGAGGGGGCGGGGTGGCCGAATAGGCTAAAGCGTGTGTAACAGCACCGTTAGTTGCCTGGCAACCGGATAACAGAGATTTGAGATGATATAAAAAGTACGAGTTCGCGTCCCGGTGCCGGAGGGGATTTTAAATTCCCCGCCCTCACCCCCTGGCCCGGGAAAATCCCGTATAGCCTAAAAGGCGAGGTAGGGAAGAACAAAAAAAAAAAAAAAAAAAAGATTGCATATTTGAAAAAATTCCAACGCATACTGAATAAGTATCTCGCTACTGTTAGTGCAAATAACATGTATAAAAATTTAGTGCTTTACAGGAGAGCATAAAAACTAATTATTTCTTCATGATTTATTAGTATAATTTTATATTGTATTGCCCTCTACTATTTTTCATAGTAGTAGACTACTTATATCTATTTCAGACTACACAATGTCAAACAGAATAAAAATTGAAAACTTTTACATATGACCTTTCCACTAACAGTAGTGATATGTAATTAATAGGTTTGTTTTAACTCGTAAACTGGATGGAACAAAAAATCCATAGGAAAAATTCAACTTTTTGTTTTTTCGGAGTTACTTTTCTTCAGTCAGAACAAAGCTAATTAAGCTGGAATATAAAAATATTAGTGAAGTTGACACAATTTTGATATTTAAGGAGAAAAACGAGACCACGACGGGCTGGTTGAACTTCAATGGAAATAAACACAATCACTAATAAGACTTTTTTTTTTACATATTCAGAGTAAAAATCACTTTAAATTCACTGAAAACTACACGAAATCTATGGAACGGCAATAAGTGCCATGCCAGTAATGTTTGGAATCGACCAAACAGTATAAATTAAATTTTTTAATAGAAATACTTCCATGCTAACCTATTTAAAGAATAGAAGATGAATTATAACCTACTTAAGGTTACTTAAATTACAAAATAACAGTGAAAATAAAACCCACTATCATATTGTTCGAAAATATTAAGGATAATGACAATCTAGTAACAAGAATAGGTCAAGTTAAGGTAATGTTTAGTACTAACTTTGATAATACTTATCAACAACTAAGGAGTTATCTTTCCATGTCGCTATAACAATTACTATCTGTCTATACCAGATAAAATAGGTCTATTATCTGTTAGATCTCTACCAAAAAATGTCTCAGGGTGTCGACCTTTTAATAAAATTAGCTTACTTTTCTAGATAATTTTTGGAAAAATCTAGGTCATCGAAAGATTTGTAATAGGATATAATTGATCTTTAATAATAACAGGAATAATATCTAGAATTTTAAATCCAATCCACAATATGGGAGGCCTAATAAAAAAGTTTATCACATAAATAAGTATAGCTTTTTCATCAGACTACATGCAAAGAGAGAGAACCAAGTATATTATACCAAATATATACCTCTTTGGTACGTAAAACGTGTGGAAAATTTAGATTCTGAGCAGAGATATTTTATTAACTTTCCGCACAACTACTAAACTTCTCTAAATTAGTCAGCACAGGTGATAATAAGATATTTAACATAAATGAAATGGAATTTTTATCCAAACAAAATAAAAAATATCAAAGCAACCTTTTTTAATACTATAAACAACAGAAACTTTGATAGAATCTCCCTTAGAGAAATCAGAAAACTGGATACTTTCTTGTAACTATATTACATTTGATATTTAAAAGGAGTATTTCATTTTAGTCTACTAGCTGCATTTTATTATTGAAAATTTCATTCTAAAATTTATAAAAACATTATTAAAGTACAGGTCCATCAAAAGAGTACTTAGTGACCTTTTACAAAAAGCCATCATTATTATGTTATGAAAACTGGTACAAATCCCTTTTTATCAAATTATTAACAAGCCCCTGAAACTTCATAGACAGCTTTTAATTTCTAAATTAATCCTTGTAGAAACTATTATAACTATGAATTATAGACTGGATGAGAGTTAGTTATAAACAGAAGTTAGTTCATCTATTGCCCTTATTTGGGGATAATATGTTTTCAAGTATTTTTTATGTTCATTTTGTTTAAAATAGTTATTTGTTTATTATTCAACAAGAATAAATTTCTCACGGCTTAAGTGAGATTTTAAACATTTGATCAAGAAGGTATATAATTGTTTAAACGAAGGATTGGAAAAAAAGATTATGAAAAAGAGAATGAATGAAACAAACAAGTAATAAGAGATTATTTCAATTTTTCTTTTTCTTTATCTAACTTATGAGTGCTTATGCTTGACTTAATAGAATCAATACAAACAATGAAAAATGATTAAGTAGAAAAGCTCTACCAAACATAATTGATAATACTTGAAAAAGCAAAGAAAACTACAGAAATTAAGTGAATAATAACATACCATAAACAGATTAAAAATAATTAATCAAAATTTTATAGTTAAAAATGTTAATATGGTATTTTACTTACGCCATTGAAGCTAGCCGATGTGCTTCTTCTTCGGCTTCGCGTTGTGCATTCAAAGCATGAGGGAAGTCTTCTCTGACAATAGCATTCCTTATTTTGTTGCCAGAAAGATGTTTTGAAACTATTGAAAAATAAATAATAAAATACTTATAAAATTAAAATATATGATGGTAACTATAATAAACACTACTTCAAAGGGGGGTAATTCATAACTAAACTTACGAGAAAACTTCCAAAGAAGCTGAGAAATACAAGAATAAAAATAAGATTAATAGTTTTATAATTTAATTTACACAAAAGTATTCATTATTTTTTAAGATATGTTTAAAAAATAATACATGCCTAAATATCAGTAGCTAATATAATAATTAAACAAAACAAAAACCCACCTTCTTCCTGTTGAAGCTGGTAAGCTAGAGCACCATCTTCCAAGACCAGCCATTCCTTACAAACTGTAAAAAAAAAAAAACGATTAATAGATATTCGATTCAAAACAAAATCATAATTGATTGATTGTATAAGAATCTTCTAGAGATATAGCACGAATAATAATCACTAGGATATGATAGAATAAAAGGATATGTTTTAATAAAACATCTAGTAATAAAAAAAAAACTAAACCATGACTCATCAATAAAAGGTGGGCGTGGGTAAGCCAACATGAGTTGTGAAAATAAAAAAAAATACTTTAAGAAGAGTAACTTAAAAAATGTTAAACCGAGGATAGATATAAGGGAACACTATTTAAATTATTGTATTAACCCAGTAAATATTATACAAAAATTATTATGAGAGGTAGATAGAAATACTCGATAAAATTGTTCAGCTTACTCATATTATTACAAGTAAAAACAAAAATTCAAAATGTTGATTTAATTGGAACAAATATTATTTGATAATATTTCAATAAATTTAAATTAAATGCAACTATACCAGACTCGACCTAGTTTTCAATACTGATTACTGCTTAACTACCAATTTAAAAATGATTAATAGATCTAAGTGGCCTGAATAATGAAACCATTACCTAATTAATATGACTAATACTTATAAATGTATTTTGAAGATTCAAATAACAAGGTGCCTAACATTAGCGACTAAACAAATTATCATTAAAATTAAATTTAATAAAAAATTATAATCAATTCAAATTAATAAAATCACATTCAAGCCTTGAGGTAAACCAAAAACCAACAAAAGTTCTAAATAACTGTTTGATGTTTAATTAGGTAAAGCTTGAAAGTATTTGAATATATATTGTGAGCTTGAAAGCATTATATTAAGAATTTATCATTGAACTGAAAAGTAATAAGAAAAATTTAGAGTATATTATACTAAATTGTATATTCAATATGAAATAAACCTTTGATAATTTAAAACAAGATAGCTAATATGCATGAAATTAAGAAAAACATACCATACGAAATGACCTTGAAGAACAAAGAATTAAATAGAAAAAAAAAAGCTTCCCATCAATTAACTGAACCACTGCATTCAAGCTTCAGCATTAATCATTTAAGTCCATAAAATAATTAATTTATTTAAAACTGTATAAGAACGAATTTGTAACAACAGTAACGAGGAGCAGACCTGATGAATACAACGCGATAATTTTCTGTTGCGTTGGGTAAAAAAACCAAGCATGTTATTAAAGATATATATTAATATTAAATTGAATATAATTTATACCTTGGTTTACCCGGCCTGGTCTAGGAAGTGTGTCGCTTGTTCTTCCCCGACTCATTGGAAATAATTCCAATAAACCAGAGAATTCCTCAAAAACAGCACATCACTACGGTTGAATCGACGGAAAATGGCGTCTTCTCTAGAAAACGGAGCAAGGAGCCGACTTCACACGAGCAATTAGACCGAAACCGACCGACTGCCTCGTCTCAACTTTTACTCGAATTATCTTGTCTACCTACTTTCTTTAATAGTTTTCAAATCATTTAACAGAAAAACGTTTTATATTGAATAAAGTGGAAAATCTCTTAACTTCTCAAGATAACTGGACTCATTTATCTGTGTAATAAAATATATAAAACAACGATAATACATTTTAAAAATATGCATTTTGTTATTGATGGAATACTTTTCTTATAACTATGCCACGTTTTAGATTTTGATAATTATTATTGTAATTGCTTGAATTTCGAATATTCAGTTAATGATACTATATCTATATCTATATCTATCTAAAATATTATATCTAATAATATCTTACTTTTAAAGAACTACATATTCATGAAAAAAAAAAATTATTTTCCATTAAGGTGCGTTGTGTTTCCCATTTTACAAATTATAGAAAACACAATTATTTAACTTAACTAACAGTAATATTATTGCTAAACTAAACTATTTATTTTATTTATCTTGATACCGACAGTAGATGGAAAATACCAATTACAAGAAACATAGTGGAATAACCATTTATGTATTTGTTTGTCAAATAGTTTGTGAAATGTCAAAATGCACCTATATACCTGACAGAAAAATTAAATCAGTTTATGCATGATTTCAAAAATTAATCATTGAATGTTTAAATAAAATTCATTTCAATCTAACTGAACAGAACATCGAACCATATTAATCTAGGAGAGAATTAAGATAAGTATATGAACAATTTTGAGTTTTCAATTTGAATAATAGATACTTTATAAATCACTAAATATTGAAAAGAAACTTCAATAATTACTTTCGAAGCGCGGGCGGATCTACGGGGAGGACTTGGGGGTTGAAGCCCCTCCAAAATGGTAAAATATAACCATGTTTTATCGAAAAAAATATTAAAAAATTATCTCTTAAAGTATTATTGTTCGTGTAATTACAAAGGACTTTAGGAATCACTTAAACACCATTTCATATAGGTAGTTAGTTTCTTTCTTTTTTTTTCCTATCGATTATCGATATTTTTATTTTTTAAAAAAGCTTTCCGGCTGAAGCCCCCCAAAATTAAATCCTGGATCCGCTAGTGTTTCGAAGTACTCTAGAGTGAATACATACAACTTCACTCTCGAGAACGACCTTTTCATTTACACTTTTGATTCCTCTAAATTCTGAAGAAAAAAAAAAAATATATATATTCTAAAGTAGACTAAAGATTAATTAGCCCAAAACCAAACGGTTTTCCTGGGTGCCCCTTTATTTCTGTCCAATTAAGAATGTTTGCTGATTTCAATCAGATGTTTCGAGTATACGCAAAAATAATGAAAACTGAAAAACTTCTCAGTTTTTTGTCTCTAGATCTGAAACTATGCATTATGTCGAAATTATTTACAAAGTTAAAGTAGACAAATTTGCCAAAAAATTCATATATATCAGGTAAAATATAGAACTAACCGGCGAGGAACTAAAGTATGTTCATAATGTTTTTCGCAAGAAATAGTAGCTTCTCAAGGATTTTTTTCTTGATAACGCAAGTCCAATTTTTTTGAAGTGTTTTTTTTAATTTATTTTATTTTATTTATTTTTTTTTTATGATATGCCTCATTTTTGAAGGGGATACGATACATATTCACGAGCTAACTAATTTTTGAAAGAACCATATATTTTTTTAAAATTGTAGTGACTTTACAATTTAATAAACGAACAAGGTGAATAATGAGCTACAATGTATGTAATTTTATTTTCGTTAGCACTGTTTTTAAGAAGAGAGAGTAATACATTTTCTTGGGGAGGGGATAAGACATCATCCTTGGGAAGGATGAGCACCCCCTGTACACAAGGTTTTTTTATTCAATATTCCTAAAAAATAATAATAATTGTAATTAATAAAAAAGCGTTTTTGTTTTTTTTAAGATTTAATGCTGAGCTCGACGATGGCATCCAATTCGTCTCTAAAAGGAACAATGCTATGTCATCCATTAGCTAAGCTCTGAATTTAGGAATTTGTCTCCTCACTTTGATAAAATGAATTTTTGATCTTATTTTACTTATAATATTGGTAAAAGAATCGTGTTTATTTACATGCCTTTTAAACCATCATTGTCTCTATTTTCTTAAAATAGTATGTCATTAGATTAATACATACATAAACTCTAGACCATTGTCCAATAGAGGAGGGTAAATTTTAACAATAAAATGGTAGAGATCATTAAGGAAATGTATTACCGAAAATTTTCATTGTACCACTCAATAATTTATAAAAATGTTTCTTGTAATGAAAAAATTATCTTCTCTAGGGATTTCTATTAACAATCTGGGAAATCTATTCCCAAGCTTTCTCCTGACGAACCTCGACCTTTTGGAGAAAACTTTCTCTTCTCTCGCACACTTATAATCATTCAGATATCTGACTAATTAACTATCTTTGATAATAATTAATCAAACTTATAAATATTTCATCGTAACTGCGTAGAAATATAGTGCTTACCATTATTGTATTGTAATTTACAAATTATTAAAACTGAGGAATAAAGTGAGAATAAAACTATAACTCTCCTTCCATCGTATAACAAACGAAAAACTTTTTTGTAATGAATAAAAATCTATGAATCTCATTGTGATAAATCTTTGTTTATTAATATTATAAAACAATCTATTTAAAAGGCGCCCCCCTCCACTTAAAATAAATGTGTGTTGAAATATGAATTATTCACCCGACATAAAATTTACTTCATAATGTTTCCGTTCTTAAAAATCGTACACAATACATTTCAATTAGTTTTAAGCTATTTCCTAAATACTTTTGTTTAGATCTTCTAATTAATTTTAATTGATAAACAATAAGTAAATAATATAGAAAACAGTTAACATCCTACCATATAAAAATTAAATATAAAATTAATTTTGCAATAAATAAACATGCATAAATATTATTTATAAATATTTGAATTTTGTATTTAGTTCACATAAATAAAGTAGTGGCATTTGTAAACAACTTTTTTCCCGGGCTATTTGACATTTCGTTATTTTGAATTGGAACATGATAATAGGGTTAGGATAACATGTAATTGCTAAAGAAGAAAGAATTTTGTTGTTTTAAATGAACTAATTAACAGGATTCATCATCCTGTTCATCATCATAAATTGCAATTATGGATGATGTGTTGTCATTGCCTATTAGTAAATTAGGTATTGTTGAGTTCTGTTGATGTTATTTAATTAGATAAGACTTTATTATGAATTATACTGTTATTATGGGGGTAAAGTAATTTACACCATTCCTAATAATTAAGAAGTTATTTAATTTTATAGTCAGTATTTAATGTAATAATTTGTTACTAAAAATTTAATAGCCATTATATTATTAAAGTTTACTGATTCTTTCATGTATATGGTTTCTGAAGTTATAAATTCTTTTACTGCATCTAATAATAAACCTGCATTAATTTATCATAGGCCATGAACTTGAAGAGATAAGAGTTGGAGCTTTGACTACTTTACTTTCAAAACTCGATTTGGGAATAATCACCGTGAAGGATTTAGTTAAAACCAAAGATATTTTCATTAACCTGATCAATTGGTTTAAATTTCCCACTGTGCCTTGTAAAGAAGATGTATTAAATTTGATTCTTGCACTTGTAAAGGTATTTTTTTTTTAATTAAGTAAGAGTACAGTGATATTAGTTTTTATTATTTAGACTACTTCCATTAGATTATTTGGTACTAACTCACAAGTGTCCCATCTAGAGGATGTATGGTGAAGACCACTTCGATTACACTTGTTGATGGAGTGCTGGAAATAGCCAGAGTTAGCCTGAAAAAGTTTGGACGTGACAGACCTCCAGATTTATATATACCTTATTTTCACTTATCACTACTAATACCTTCACTTCTTTCTACTAATAAATATAGAAATAAGTTTGAGTTGAATAAGGCATAATATTAAGATTGTACTGTGGGCCCATAATCAAATATCAATATAAACATAATTTTATGTTTTTGACCGAAGATATTAACAACCCTGTGCTTTTAAGTACAATGATTACAAAGCCAGGATTAAATTTTTTTTTTTCATTTAACATCTATCCATAATAGAATTCTCCAATTGATGCTTCCACTTCTATTAGCTATGTCCGTCCCATTAGGAAGATTTTTATTGATATCATCTGACAGAGTGGGGCACACTGAGAGGTGCAGATTATACACCTTTCATTCTCCCATCACTGGAGGGTACCCAGGACTTTCCATGACTCCGATTCTGTGCAAATGTCTTTGCAGGTAACCATGTCAGGTCATCATGCGGAAACTCGCCACCGATACTTTCCTTTAAATAATAATTAAAAATAATTTAATTAAATATTTAGATAGTAAAGAATAAAAGTGATAACATAAGAATAAACATTGTTATCTTAAACTGGTTTTATTTAAATTATTAAAATTTGTAATAGGTCACTTGTGCCCATTTCTTATTATTACATAGAGCTTTGCGTTATTAATTGAAGCCTAACATTAAAAACAACATTAAACCAATATACTTCTGGTTTTTACACAAATTTGATGCCATATTTTTTTTTTTTTATGTTTAACTATTTAGTTATTAAGTTGAAATTCATTGAGCCAAGAGATTAGCATTTATATTTTTTATTTTCATCAATATCTTGAAGATAATTTATTGTCATTCTATTTTAAATCATGGCTTATTTCAATTATGCATCTTAATGGTGTTTATTTTCTTCATCATTAGGACAAGGATGGTGCATTTTGTCTCGAAGTTACTGATCCTGACCTTCGGGAGCTCACGAACTGTCTTGGAAATGAGTATAGAAATGAACTAATTGAAATTAAAAGATGTATCAAAGAAATAAACGATGCTTCTCAATCGAATAATAGTAAAGAAGTAACTGAAAATTTTGGTTCCTTTAAGTAAGTAGTATTTAACTCGTTAAAATGATTTGTTCTTATTTTCATTAATTAATTATAGTAATTATATATAAAATAATAAAAAATGGGATATTTGTAGTTCTTTGACAGAAAAAGAAGAGACACCATCTTCAGCAGTTTCATTGTATTCTTCCTCATCAACAAGGTAATTTGCCAATTACTTTACAATATAATGATCAATATTTTAAAATTGCTGTTTTAATCATTGTTTAAAAAAACAAAATAGGAACTCATCAGCTAGTTTCTGGGATTATCAAGAGATATTTTGGTGTGTTCCTGTACTTGATGAATCAGATAAGCGTGTGCTGTCTTCGGTCGGCAATCTACTAAACGATACTTCACAATCTATCCAAGCTGCTAATTTCTTCTCAACAGTTCTCCTTCATGATTTTCCCCCTCAGGTTTTCCTTCATGACACCACAATCCTTAATGTAAGTGATTCAGTTTTTTTCTTTGTATTTTAATATTCTGTTATAGCAAATCCCATTATGTAAATATATTTTTTTTTTTTAATTTAAAATTCGCGTTTGAGGTGTTCTATATAAATGGCTAAAAAGGTTTGTTTCTGAACTCCTGGACTGGTTAAAAGATATGGACCAATTTCTCTGTTACACTAAACACTGTCAAGACCCATATGCGACAGTTAGTTATTTAGACAAACTGTTAGTCTCATAACCTTATAAAAAACTGAATTATTTTGTCTTATCATATGGAATTTGTGAATCCTTAAGAGAAGCTGATGGATTCGAATGCATAATTGTTTTTTAAACACATTGTGTTTATTTATTTTTGCTATCGATTCCTTGTTAGTTATTTCTGATGCTAAATGATTCATAAGGATAGTTTAACACTTTAATAACCAAGCCATTCTAGTGAAACTTTCTGTGGACCAAATTGTTTTTTTCTCTCAAAAGTTGTAATATACTGTTAAAGAAAGTATCATGCATTCTTTTTAGTTTTAAAAATAAGTTAATTGCAATAACCATTTCTATTACAGTTCTTTTTAATTTTAATTTTTCTATTTTTACCCTTGGTCATTATTTCATACATGCATATAATCATATTTTTATTATTTTTGGAAATTTAAACAAAAACAAGCTTGTTTGTGGATCTTAATGGCGGGCGTATAAACCTGCCATGGTCCGTTAGGTAAATCAGTGAGCAGGCGTATTCACCTGCTTTGCTCATTAAAGTGTTAATTATGAAAATCTTGTAGTCAATGTATATTATTTAAATGCCTGTATAATAGGATTTTTAAAATTTTAATTGTTATGTTGCTACTATTTTACAGGCTCTGTTTGAGCTGTACACTCAAACGAATGGAGAGACGCCCGCAATCATCAAGTGTTTCAAAGAGTTTACCTATTCATTACATAGGCAGTTCAAATTCTATGCGGATCCGTCTGCTCAGCATTATGTAAGTTTAACTCTGAATAAAACATATTTTGGTACCTTGGATGTAGTTCAATGATTTCATTCTATAATCTCAAGCCGTCCATATTCAAAATAATTTTCAACATAATTTTTATTCAATTGTACTTTATTTAATGAATATGTAGTCTTTGTTATGAGTTTTGATACAAAGGTTAGACCATAACACTTTTGAAAAAATAATTACCTGTTCTTATAAATTCACATTTTTTGTTTTTTCTATGTAAAGTTTCAAAAATAAGTCAAAAGGTTTCGGCATAACAGGCTTCATTTATAACAGACAATATACAGGCATATCCCACTTTGCATGACCCCTTTTAACATCTTTTTTTTTTATTACAAATTATATTTACATATTAATAATTTTATTTTATTGTATTTTAACTTATGCTTTAGCGTATTAATTTGGCAATGCAAATTGATACAAAATACATTAACAAAAAAAATAAAAGAAAACGCTCTTTAAAATGGTGTAATGGCTAAGCTTGTTGAAATGAGAGTCCCATGAAGTGTGGTACATTGGTAAGTATGGTTTCAATAAGAGAGCTAATATTTTATTCCAAGCAATTCAACAAAATTTATATTGTGAATAGATTTGTGGATTCATGTTGAAGTTACTACAATTTCTGTGTGATTTTAAAAATGATAAAATTAAAGACATAATTATAAGCAAAAAATGTTTATTTTATCGATTACTATATAAATTTGTATTTTAGCATTTTTCGAGGAGCAAAAATTGGATATGAACTTTGTTTCTCCCTTCTTATTCATTCATCAACAGTATGAACTAGATGACAGATTCATACTATTATAAACTATATAGAAATAATACTAATCATCTTTGCATAATTTTTTTTAAGAAGAAAAATAAGTTTTACTCTGGGACTTTCAGTCCCCTAAGAATAATTAACAATTTATAATTCGTTGACATTTGTCTAAAATAAAAAGATCAAGAATTGATTAAATTACAATAGAAAGGCACATGCTAACGTTTAAATTATAGATAGATATATATGAGTGTGTTCGCATATAAACAATAGATAATATATCAAAAAGATGACGGCATGATGAGATTGACATTTCTAAAACACAAAAATATTACACTTATTCGGAAGATTGATTACTGAGGAGATGGAAAAATAAATAGTGTTTAAATGAGGTCAAGGAACAGGATTTGTGTATGGAAGTAGGTAGGGAATTCCAGAAAGGATGAGATCCTGGAATTGTATATATCTATCTATAATTCAAATGATTAGGAAGGAGATGGGTGGCAGTCATAAATAGACTAAGTAGTGGCAAAACTATTTTATTCAAAGCCAATGTTTCGACCTAACTTTGCAGGTCTTCTTCAGGGCTCGAACGGGCAAGATACAAAAAGATATAGAAAATTGTGAAAGTTGCATCATATTTAGATAAAAAATTATAACCAATGTGAATAAACTTATTAAAATTATAAACAGTAAGTACATTAAAATATTAAGAACAACAAGTTGTAAAAGCAGAGTAAGCTAGGTAACAAGATCCTAAACTGAAGTTAATAGATGGTGACAATTGTTTTAGTATAATAAAATATAATATATGTAATTGTGAATATACTCCTACAGATCTACAGGAGAGATTAGAAGAAAAGGAAAAAGGATATAATATGAAATAATGGACATAAAGGGATGTGGAGAAACAGAAGAAAAACAAAAAATAAGTAAATAAAATTAGAGACAGCATCTAGATTAGAATAAAAATAGAGACTTTTATGTGTGTTCAGCAAGGAGTTTCATTTAGAACTGGAAAACCAGAGTAAGGATAGGTATTGGAGAAATTTGTTGACCTGGTAATGGTAAGGGGGTAAATAGTAAAAGTAAAAAAAAAAAAACCTGGAAAATTACAGCATCTAAAATTTGAAGATATGGATGGATACAAGGGAAAATACTATATCTATGAAATAATATTATAATAATATATTTATGAACGTATTATATTATAATAATATATTTATGACTGCCACCCCGAACCATCTCCTTCCTTAATAATGCAACGATCAACTATTAAATATTCAATATGGTTCAAATGTTAGCTTGTGCCTTTCTTTTGTAATTTAATTAATTCTTGATCATCTTTTTATTTCAGACAGATGTCACCGAATTGTTTATTGTTAATTATTCTTAGAGGACTGAAAGTCACATAGTAACATTTATTTTTCTTCTTAAAAAAAATTATGCAAAGATAATTAGTTAATGGTAGTGATGGAGCTATTTCATGAGAGTGAAGCCTTCATTTATTTAACAGATTATATGCAGACATCTGTTGTAAATCTGTCAATATCTAGTACATACTGTTGATGAATGAATAAGAAGGAAGAAACAAAGTTTATATCCGATTTTTGTTCCTCAAAAAACGCTTAAATACAAATTTTTACAATAATTGATAAAATAAATATTTTTTGCTTATAATTATGTCTTCGATTTTATCATTTTTCAAAGTCAGACAGAAATTGTAATAACTTCAACATGACTCCAATGATCTATTCATAATATAATTTTTTTTAAATTGCTTGGAATAAAATATTAGCTCTCTTATTGAAACCATACTTACCAATGTACAGTTTTGTTTCGTTATGTATTTTTTCTCAATGTATTTTGTATCAATTTGTATTTCCAAATAAATATGTTAAAGCATAAGTTCACAGAAATATTGTATCAATTTGTATTTCCAAATAAATATGTTAAAGCATAAGTTCACAGAAATATTGCTTTAACCAACCATATATGTTATTTTTCTAATGTTAATTAAATTAATCATATTTATGATTTTCCAGCAATATGAACCTTACAGGGATATTTCAGAAGAACCTCTAGCTTTGTATGATTTCAAAAATCTGAATATTCAAGACATTGAAAGCCCGCGACAACAGCTGGTAATAAATTATTCTCAGTTTTTGTTGTAAATTTAAATTTAAATTTTAATAGTTGATATTAATTTAAATTACTTAATAATTTGAATTCCGTATACTATTTTTGTTTTAGAAATATTGAACAATTTATCTTAATTAGTATAATTTCATTTTCTTTATCGGCTCAAGACTTGCGTCAAAATCCTATACTGCCCTTAATCAATATTATGTGATATTAAGTTTTAGCTATCTAAAATAAAATTAATTTTTTTTTCCATGCTCATTTTAATTTTTATCTTGTCCAAATAAATTATTACACCATCAATACCCGATTCATGTTTTCAGTCAATGGTAAATGATAGGCTAAATTTATTAGAGCCTTTAATTTGATCAAAATTTTAGCTACAACTAAATATTATATTATATCTCTTTACGGAAATAAAAATCATTACTTATGAAAAAAGAGGGAACTTCCATAAAAAACTCTTTGTGCTATACTCTATACTGTTATCAAATGTTAAATAAAATTTAAAATCTTAAAAATTTAATCCAGGAATAAAAATTAATTTACAGGCGTTGATGACCTTGATATTTTACGCCTTAAAGCCCGAAAAAACTAAAAAACTGTTATCAAATGATCAAATGGTTAGAAGGTAGTTGCTAAGAAAATTGGAAGAAAGCAGTTGCATTGAAAAACATAAAAAAAAAAAAAAAATTAAAATTTTCAAACCTATTGAGAACTGAATGTTACATGATTTTAAAATTTATTAATAATATAATGATCACAGCGTTTATAATGTTGCTAAAGTCAGAAGCTTTTGATTACAGGGGGTCGGAGAGTTTTGTGGTATCTGTCTGGAAAAGTTGAGCGATGCTGTTCCTGGAATCCTGAAGCTTCTTCAGTTATGCATGAATGATCCAACTAGATTTTGGGCTTCGACGAGTGGTTTAGGTTTAAAGACAAGCATATCTAACCACCTCGGATCTTTAGCCGTCAGGTTGAAAGCTGCTCGGTAAGAAATCATTGACAATTTAATTTATTATTTTAAAATACAATCCTTACTGGCGTCTTTTTTTTGGTACTCCTTAAATAGCCTGTAGGGTCGAAATCTCCCTTGTTATCTAATCTTATATCACATAACCTCCCTTCTTATCTCGTCTAACCTAAGTTATTCCTTTGTTTATTTTTTGTTCCTCGTATAAGCTGTGTGTTATTTTGTAAAATTATCGATGTTGTTACATTGTTCGAATTGCCGTCTTCAGAAGAAGAGGCTATCACATATTTTCAAGACGCCGGGATAATTGCAAAGGTGAAATATTGTGATGAAGGTCATCATATGAAGTTCGACGGGAAGATTAAATGGAGATGCTTTCGTACTTGTAACAAAAGTGTTTTGATAAGGAAAGGAATGTGGTTAGAGGGGTCAAGGATTTCTTTTTTAACGGCTTTAAAATTCATTTATGGGTGGTCCCATAATTTAACAACAATCCAGTGGGGGATAGAGCAGCTGAAACTATCCAAGAGATGTCATAGTGTACATATGTTGTTTAAGTGTTTTTTTATTATTTCATTTATTTTTATATATATGTTGTAATGTTTTCGTAATATTTTTACATTATATATGTATAATGTTTTGGTCTATTTAATATATATATGTTGTAAAATAAAAGTATTTTTTTATTATTGCATTTATTTTTGTTTTTGTTTACAATTTCAATAATATGAATATAATACAATAAATATGAATAAGAAAATATAATAATATGAATATCAATAATATAAATATAAGACAATAAAAATGAATACGAGGATAGAAATTATTACTGCCTTCAGTGATTATCAGAATTATCAGTGTTAAGGTTTTAAACATTGGCAGATAACAGTCGGACCCGACCGGTTATTTAAGGAGTACCCTTTTTTTTAATAAAAAGAAATATAACTGATACTTGTTGACATAAAAATATAATCTAAAAACTGATAAGTCTTCTAAGAATTCAATAATACTGGAATCATTGAATAAAATAACTTTTCAATCATATCTTCAACGACTAATAACTATACTCAATCTGTATCCTATGGGCAAGTTCCAAAACTCATCGATGAAAACCTTGGATGGAATTCAGCTTGTTCCTTTATGGTCCATAGTACAGATCCCTCAATTAATTAATAATAAAAATATTAACATCGGCCTAAAAGTTTGTGAATGGCTTGACCTTATCGTAACGTAAACATATTTATCTTCGAAAATTCTCAAAAATGGAGTGCCTTATCATTAAATTAATTAATTTAATGAGATACTAAAATCTCATAAATAATTCATTTGCTTTCCATTTGAATCATAAGATAATTTGATCTCAAAATCTAAATCTTTTTTCTCGATTCTGTGATCATATTATCTTACGATTCAAGTGGAAAGCAAATGGATGTTCATAAGTTTTTAGTACCTAATTATATAGACAAAGTTTGCTCCAAATTGAAAATGTCCCAATTATGAGAATTTTCATAAATAAAAATGTTTTAGGTTACGATGAGATCAAGCTATTCACAAAGTTTTAGGCGGATGTTTTATTAATTTGATGAAAAGAGGTCTGTACCAAGGCCTATTATTCAACAATTGAATTATCAATGGCTTAGCAGTTCCATGTACCCTCATTTTAACCTCACTATTGTTATTTCATAATTCACTTTAAATATTTATATTCACTCTACTTTCTATCCATATTTATTTAGGTTTTGAAATTCAGAAATGCTTTGATGGAATTAGTGTTGAATTTACGAACTTGCTTATGCAATGAACTCACAATATATTAGACTTATATAATCTGCTTATACTCTTATAAATATGTGTGTGAAATGTTTAAGTAGATCCAGAGCAGTCCAGCAACTATTCCATTCAATGCTCTCTAGATCTTTTGACTAACTTTAATACTTTTCACAAGTCCCTATTCCAAGTATTACAAATTATGATTATCCCTTAAATCTGCACTTGTTGAATTAAAAAGTTTTTTGAGCCAATTCATTTTTTTTCCAAGTTTCTGGGTTTCTGATAATGGAATAGATTCGAAAATGTGGAAATTATGGTTCTATAAATGTTTAGCAGCGATTTTAGATTTTGGGAAATGTAATTCTCATGACAAGCTTTGGTCAACGGGGTAATGTGAACCATAGTTCCCATGATCAGTTCTAGTTGAGGATTCAAATAGAGGTCAATCCGAAATTGTTTTATTATGTATGATAGAAAAACTTTGTGTTGATTTCACTATTGATTACTCTACCGAATGGTATGTGACTTTCAAAGGAAGATAACGACAGGTTATTTTCCAAATTGATGCCGAAATGGTGCCAAAATGACAATTAGGTCTTGAATTGTAAACCAACTCTTGTTTTATATCAAAATAACAAGAAATAACATCATAATTAAAGTTCAAAGTCATGGGAACTGGAGTGCACATGACTAGAAAAGAGTTATTAGTTTAAATAAAAGTTAAAAATAATCAATTTCAAATAAATTCCTACAAAAATCACTACAATACAATCAATTTAGTGAAGTGATTATTTGTGATACAAAATTCCATTGTGAAAATATTAAAAATTGGTTTAATTGAAGAGGAGGTTGGCTGGTTGTGGTGTTAAGTAAAAAAAAATGTAAAAATAAATAAATTATATTGTTTTTTACTGAACACGTCAACCATCAATCCACAATTATAAAAATTGGTTTGTATTATGTAATATTAGTTTTATTTATTTAAAAATTTAAACAATCAACAGATTGGGCGAAACTGTTGGTCGAGTCGAGGCTCAAACTTGGGCATCTGAAGCGTTGTCTAAATTAGTGCCGATAGAAGCAGCATCGACTATCGTCAACAGGAACCTGCAATCAGTCCTTGTCCAAGAACTGTTCGACCATAATCTCCTTCTCATGTATCCTAGAGTTCATGCTATCTTCAGAACCTATGTGTCATCTTTCATGGTGAGTGATGAGAAAATTCTAGAAAATCAACTGTTAAAAATTTATAAACGATTTTTTTGTTGTAAAAGATCACTAAAATAAATAAAAGATAGTATGTTAATTGAACGAGCCTAAAATAACTCATTCAATGTACATAAATTAACTTAAACAGCATTGAGAAGTGATAAATATTGGAAGCAGGAAAAAAAAAAAAATTCATTTGTTTTATAAACAATAACATCTAAAATTTGCTCTTAATTTTTACATTATCAGCCAATGATTTTATTAATTACAGTAATGTCGTAATTTGTATGCTAAAATTTGAGCCAAGATCATTCAAAACAATTGAGTAAAAAGATTAAGTGATTCGGAGGAAGTGAGGACTAATAGATTCGGAGAAAGACAAAAAAATGTTATTTTTCAGGAGACATAATTTTGTGACACCCTTGTTATACCGCCATTTATTTTGGATTGTTAAGGTTTTGGAAAAAGTTCGTATTTAGCTAAGTAAATAGCCTGGCCCATTATCTGTTTTAATCAAGTAATTATCAATAAATCTGATTAAATTATATGAAAAATGTAATGAATGGTCTTAAGAGAGGTACATGAATTACTTCATTATTGATTATTTATTAATCTCTTTATTGTTTATTCATGTTTCAGTACCAAGAAGATGATGATTATAGTGTAGTAGAAGAAATTATTAATTCCATCAGAGCTGCTGTTAAATTCATGAGATGTTATCATGAATTATCGGTGTATGAAGCATTATCTCAGTTCAAATTGGGAATCCTCTCTCTCGATATTCATAAAGAATATCCGCTTGTAAAGTTATTTTTTGAGATCATCATGGAAAAGTAAGTGTTTTTAATTTATGATTTTCAATCATATAAAATTATGTCTGGGTTTCTACCAGACCTGGATAACATAGGTAATTTTACAAAGTAGTGGACGTAAATGCGAATCAGCTGTTATTCTCAATTGTTAGGTTTACTTAATAATAATATATGATGAAGTCCATTTTATACGCTGAGGTTTCTCTACCATTTAAATCATTTTAGTTGAGACACTTAAGTGTGTAAAAGGATTTCATTAGGTTGCAGGACCAAATTGATCAAACATATTGGAATTTTTTTCTAAACTATACCAGCACTTCTAGTGCTCAGAAAACATGTTGTATATCTCACCATTTTTCTGTTGTCACTGTACATAAAATAACCAAATACAAAATTTCATTCAATCTTTCTTCTATAAACTAAAATTTTCACTTTGACTAGAACAAAAATCTTACAATGTATCTAAAAAGTTGTATGAATTTGTTCTATAGGCAGCTAGCAGTCAGTGAGACAGAACTGGCGGAAGAAATTATTCTATCGTTGCTATCTCATGCCGAAGTTGCGGTTTGTGTCACAACGTATTCCCAACTGTCCTTGGCTGTCAGCAAGGTCCTTGGACCGTCTTCAGTGAAACATGCTAACAAGAATCCTTTGGACAGGATACCCTTCATCCTCAACTGCAGGGTCCTTCATGAAGTCATCTGCTTTGGAGTAACAAATGAACAGCCTGAGGTACCTGATATAATTTTTAATAACATATTTATTCGTTAATGTATTGTAGGTATTATTATTGTGATGTTTTGCAATAGTAGTTTTTGAAATTTACTGTAATATCAATTGTGTAAATATGAAATCAAAATTTTTTTATAGAAGATATCGTCGGTTCATTGCAAAAAGTCATTAAGTCAAAAAGTCATTTCATAACCTTAAATAATTAAGAACTTTGATGAATTTTCCCTTTTTGAAATCAGAAAAATGTGCACTCAGTGTAACTATACATGATAAATAAAAGTGTGCGTACCATTTTTATTCACTTACGCTGTTTTTGCGAAGATAAATAAGGTCGAATTTTAAAAAAACATTTTTTAAAGTTAACCTTTATCAAAAATGTACTTAGTGACTTTTTGCAATAAACCAACAATATACATTTATTGCCTAAAAATATTTTCTATTTCTACCTATACATTTTTACCATCTCCTGCAATTTATGAATGTAATGCCAGAAAAACTTGGTCTTTTGTGGCGAACTAGTCATTAAAATATTTTTTTATATTTTTATAACAAGTGAAACACTGCTGATCAATCAATGTAAATAAATAGTTGGACGGAACCAAATCTGGTGAGTAAGCCGCATGTGCCAATATTTCCCAATTGAACCCATCAATAATTTTCTTTACTGTTCTTGCTTTGTGTGATGGTGTGTTACCATGAAGCAAAATCACTTTATGTTGTATTTTTTTATATTCTGGTTGTTTTTCATGCAATACTCGATCCTGTTTAATTGATAGTATTCATTATTAATGGTTTTGCTAGTTTTTAGCTGTTCATAAACTTTTTTGCTGGATTTCCATATTCTTCATTTCTCTCATCCAAATCACCACTCTTGAAATTTTTAAATCACTTGAAGAACTGTGATTTACCAAGTACTGTGATTTTTGAAGAACATGCTCAACAATAGCTTCGACAAGCATTTAATGTGTTTCTCAGCTGTTTCCTTTAAATTGTTAAATAAAGTTAACATTGGCTGCTTTCTAATGCATAGTTTGTAGGCACAAAACTTTAATATATTCATAACTATTAAAATGAAGCTCTTATATGAAACTTGTATTGTTGTGAGTTGAAAATTTTGGCCTGCTTTCAAAGAAGCAAAATGATGCCAATAATGAGATTTAATGGTAACTATATTAACAATTAGAGCCATCTATGGACGAATTCAGATTTCATATTTACCCATCTGGTATGTTTTCTGGGTGAAACTATTACTTCTGTTTTTACTTTCCCTTACCTATATATGTAATATATAGTAGGGGTAAGTATTGCGATCGTGAAAATTTTTGAATCTCAGTTTTCAGCTGAAATACATGTTGGAAAATGGAAAATAACAGCTTAATAACTAATAGTCCTACAATCCATAATCATTTATAGGTTAAATATTCAGATATACTTCCAAACCTCTGTAGACATGTATGAGCCTAACGGTTGACAGAATGACTAACTCCAATTTCAACATTCTTTATTATTAATTTTAGTGATGTTTCTAGTGGCAAAATTTATACCTTTATTCACAGTTCTATATTTCAACATTGCAATCAGCTACTCCGCAATCTACTTACTCACTCTTTGTATTGATATAACTTTTCCAACAAGAAATATCACTAAAATGACATTACTCAAAAATGTTTGAATTGGAGTTAGCCATTCTGTCAACTGAAAGGCTCAGAGATTAAAGTTGAGTGGTTTATAAAAGCAGATGGAGTGACTAGATTTTTATTGCCTACCATCGATATAATAAATAGACTTTTTGTAATTAGAATGGTCTCAAAGCTTTAAGCTTTAGCTCCATTTAAAATGCCCTTCAAAAATTTTATAATTGTCCATCATTGCCAGAAAATAATTTCTATTCAAAGTAGAGCGGTAAGTAAAAGTTGTGTGTTGCGTGCATCACATTTTTGTATTATTGAATCTTACTTTCTATTCATAAAATAATTCAAGGCTTTTGTCCCATGCTTATTTTAAAGGATTTCTCATTCCAACTTCTTTTTTTTTTTTTTCTTTGTTATTTTAATGAAACATTTGTGATGTTATAATTATAAATTTTGGCTTGTAGATAAGAAAAGATGCAGAAACTATCTTAACTCTTTTACTCAAGTCGAAGATGGTTGTACATATTGAATATTGGCCTTTGATATTATCAGTCATCAATAGTTGCCTCCCGCTATTGGTCAGCTTTGCTTCGGAGAGCAATGCTCTTGGAAAGGCGGTGTTGTCAATGACTGATCCAGATATCGCTCCTCAGCTTTGTTTGCACAAGTTACAGGCAAGAGATTTATTATTATTGTGGTAGAAACAATAAAGATAATGTAGAGTAGTATAATTGAAAATTGTAGATTTAAAATTAATACAATTATAAATTCATAGTATTCCAGAAAAATAACTATGGCAGATGTTGAACTAATGTTGGCTATTTCATTTAGTTTAAACTATTTTTATTAAATTTTTATTTTAGCTTATTTAATAATAAAATGATTTTTTTTTTAGATAATTGAGCTTCTCTTACAGCATTTTTAGCAAGTTTATTAACTTTTTAAATAAAATAAATTGTTTTAAATTAAATAAGTTGTAAGACGACATTGTACAGTTGCTTAACTGTGTTGAGTTGCTAAACGGCCCAGCATACTGATAAGTCTTACTCAAATATATTTAATAAGATAAACAAAAAGAATAAAGTATTATGGGACTATCGTCCAAAATACCAAATGTTACAATTTATCATTATTTGTTATAATTTTCTCCAGATTTTCTTCCTTCTCACTTTTGTTCCTATCATTGACCAGAACTAATATAGGTGATGGTATAGAATTCCTAGCGAGTCCAAAATAATAGATTCCACCATAGTTTGCAGCTGGCTTCTTTTCACACCCATCTCTTCCAAAAAATTAGCAGCTGAAAGTAAAATTGCTCCTATATTTCCATACCAAATCCTGAACCGAAAATTCTCTCACACAAAATTCCCCTATATTTTTCGTGTTGGTACATTATGCATTTTTTAATAGATTTCTTCATTTTTGTTTTGTATTTTGAGGTCTTGATCCTCGTTTGTTTCAAATCTAATTGAAGGATCAACTATCAGAACGTCGTTTCCTTTCACACTAAAGGCTAAGATATCTACAAATCTCACTGAGCCTTCCATATCAAGGCAATATACTTCGAGGAATTCGCCTATTCATTGCTTTATATTATTGTGCTGGCAGATGACAAAAGCTTCCTAAACATTGTCAGATGAAACAACTGTATACAAAATTATAAACTTTTTAATAGAATGACTAACAGAAAGATCTTTTTATGGAGGTTCCAAAATTTGTTTTAAAATGAACTTCATTTCATATCAATAAATCAATATTTCAAGTTTGAAAAAGTTTTTTATTTCTCATACAATGAAGTGTAAATTAAATTAGTATAATTACTGAAAATGATTATCTACATAATTCTTTATTTTATTTTTTCTCTATTTCTGTAAAGCATTCTATGTTCTGATATATGTCACCAGAATTAATAAAGTTTAAATTTCTGCAGATTCTAAATGGTAATATTCGATTACTGTTTTCACAAGTTCCTGATGTCGTACAAGAAGGTTACACAAGGCTCGTTTATCTGCTCAATGTGACTCCGATTCATCCGTTTTCAATGCCAGATCCTTCTCTTACTCTGCCTCGTCCGCCTCTAGGTCCTAATTATTTTGATGTGAGTATACTTTGTTCTATTGAAAAATTTTTAAATGAATATATAGTAGACTTAACTCTTATGTAGCAGACAAGCATGCTTGCCTTCTAATTGTATTTTAAACCTAGGAAATGAAACACTATTATAAAACTAGGATGAAACAGTTAATTCAAGTATGATGCTGTCTATAAAAAAAAAAATTGATTGAAATAAAAATACTGATTACTCTGTTGTAGCTATATTAATAATTTCATAATTTTAATAATATGATTTAACTATTTTGGAAAATATGAAGTGTTATTTACTAGGCTAAGAAGTAAATGAAATAAAAATAAACTAACAATATTATTTTTATTCTAAATAACTTTTTTGCTTCCTCACTACTGAAGGTAGGGAAGCATTGTATTCATGCGAGAAGTTAAAAAAAATTATGTGCTCAGAATCGAAAATTTCCACTCTTGTTTTACATTTCAGACATTAAGTATCAAATTAGTCAAATTAATTTTTACTCTGAGTTTGTATAAAAAAAAAAATCTTATTTGTGATCGTGTTTATTTGTATGAAAGTTCTACTAGCTCATCTTTGTCTCAATTTCATCCTTAAATATCAAAGTTGTGTGAACTTTACACATATTTTTATATTAGAGTTAATTCCGAACAAACTAAAAGTTGAATTTTTCCTATTAAGTATATATCACTACTGTTAGTGCAAAAGGTTGTATGTAAATATTCTCAACTTTTATTCTATTTATGCTAAAGATGACATTTTGTAGTCTGCAACTGATATAAGCAGTCTGCTTCGATGAAACGTTGCAGAGAGCAATAAAATATGAAATTATACTAATAAATCATAAATAAATAATTAGTTCTGATGCACTCCTGTAAAACATTCAATTTTTACATCTTTTGCGCTAACAGTACTGATATTAATGTTCAGTATGCATTGGAAATTTTTTTAATCACAAATCAAATGTGCGATCTGCAAATACAGAACTCTTTCACATTTTAGTATTCAATGAACAAAACTATCAAACCTGTTTAAGTTGAGAGATTACTGAATTTCCAAAAAACAGCTTCTCCCAGATATTTTATTCTAATACAAAAAATGTTAGACCTTGTAATATAGATATTTTTTAATTTATGAAAATGGTGAGGAAGCTATACTGACTTTACTTGGCAGACGTTTTTTAGACGTCTCCCAGTGCCTGCTATGATTTTTTATCCATTGTTTTAAGAAACTATTTGCCTTTGAATCAATTAACTTATAAAAATAAAAATGTTACCTTGTACTCATTTTGAAAAATTTTATTTTATAAAAATTCTTCATGTGCTCTATAAAAATGGTAAATGTAATTATAACTTTAAAATAATTACATAACTGATGATTAGCTTCTCATAATATAACGTTTTGTTAATATTTATGACCAAAAAAAGGATTAAGTAAAAAGATAATAAAATAATTTGTATCGGAATCTTTAGTTGTTGGGCGCCTGGCTTTACTAGCCTTTCATCTCTAACGAGATAATTATAGATTATATAAGTTACTTACCCATGATTAATCATTTATTCTACCATGCTAGCTCAGGTGAGAAGGGGTTAGGTAGGTTGGATATTTTTATAAAGCAGCAAAAAAGGTTAACAGATCTGTTTACAAAAAGAAATATTTACAGAATTAATACTATGTACAAGCAAAATAAATTAAATACAAGGAAAAAGATAGAATTTATACATAATTACTATATACAATTAAAGATAAATAGGAAAATATTTAAGATAATAAAAATAACAAAAAAAGATACTTATTCTATATACAATAGTATGGTATGACACATCTAAACATCTAGAAAAGATAGTCAAGATACAAGAGATATAAGATGTAAGAGCACATGCACATGCTAAAATATCAATTAATAATTTGGTCCAGGAAACAAAAGAGAGTAGAGTTCTATTTGTTTTTCCTATGCTTTCTTAATCTTGGTTACATATTTAACTGATATAAGTATCAATATTAATATATTTTATTTAATATTGTTATATATGTTGTAGGAAGATAACGTTGCTAGATTGGCAAATGTTTTAGACACCCTTGGATTTTCTGATTGGAAAATGCTACGCTCGGCTGTGGTCCAGTTGGGGCATATCTCTGAAGAACCGTCACTTCATATACCGATCCTGGAGACAGAAATACTGTATCATTTGAAGGAGATTCTGAGGGAAGCTGTTGTTAGTATTTCTAAGTTTTTCCCTTGTTATGTCTTGTGTATTATGTTTGTAGTACAATGTTTTTGTATAAATATTGATCTTCTAGTTTTCAATATCAGAGTGAGAAGTTCTGTAAGTACTTTATTTGCTTGAACATAGGTTGTCTCTCTTTTGCACTCAATTTTGAAAATAATTTTTTAGTAATGAGCAGTGTACTGATGAAATCAAAATTTGATGGCACAATATTAGTCAAATTTTATTTATTTTCATATTAATTACTATGATGGAGTGGGGTAGCTCAGTGGTAGGGCACTGAGCTTCCAATGCTAAAGGTCCCAGGTTCGAATCCCGGCTCATGGCAGAAAAATTATTTATTCTGTTTAATTGGCCGTGGGACGATCCTGGGTAGGTAGACCCTCCTGGGGCATACCCAGCCTCTAAAGTGAGTACCCTTAATTAAAATAATTAATTAAGGGGAAAAACCTGGCAGTTGAGCGTGATCTCGGTCAAATCACCTCCTTGCACAACCGTAGACCAGGAAACAGTGCTTTCCCTAAATAATACTGAACTCCTAAGACCCTTCATGGGTTGTAGTGGTACAGGTTTCTTTTTTTTTTTTTTATTAATTATGAAATAATATTCTTGAGGTAGTTTTCACATTTTTTTTATTTAAACAAAACAAAACCAAAGTTTTTTTAACAGTTAATTAACAATATTTGGAATCATTTTTATCCCAAACATACATAAACAAATATTTTTTATGATTATTAAAAACCTTTTATTTAATTGTTATCACAGATATTTGTAACATTTTGGCCTCTTGGCTGATATAAAAAATTATCAGAGTGCAGCAAAATTACTGTTTTCCTCCATTTTCAGTACATTTAGTGTTGAGATGTGAATAGGCAACATGTTATTTTGTAAAAATTTTAAAAATAGTGATAATCCAAGTTGTAAAATGTTATCGACATATGTTTATAAAATAAGGTAAATAGAAATTAATAAAAAAAAAAATTTAATATGTTTTTAGAAAGAAATAAAGAAAACATCAATAATATCTTGACTGGCAACAAAGAAAAAAAACTTTGTTTATTTGAGAAGATATTGACAATTAATTTTACAAAAATTAGGCTGGTGGAAATAAAATATATAAATAAATGTTTGATGATGGCCAAGATGCTAAAACATTACAAATATCTGTGATAACAAATAAATAAAAGTTTTTTAATTACATAAAAAAATATATTCATGTATTTTTGGAATGAAAATGGGCCCAAAAATTTGTTAATTATTGTTAATAAACTGTTCAAAAATTAGCATATTCCATCTTATCTTTATATAATATACAATGTATATTATATGTTATACGTATGTTATATCTATATTATAATGTATATTATATTGTAATAGATGATATGGCTTTTAGGATAGGCTTGATGATGACAGTAAAGAATTATATTCTTCAATTATACTTATCTTGAAGAACCTCGCTATTTTCAACATTCAACTAAGGCACGACTTCTCCGTAGATTATGAATTGATATTTGATGTAGTAAAAGGTAAGAATAATAAAGGAAAGATAACCTTTAGAAATAGTTTTCCATCGCATTATTACATTTATTCAAATTGTTTCAGGACTCTTTATGTTTCCTCCCGAGAGGAGGATGTTGCGGGATGCTGTCCAGCTGTTGGCACTTATCATATTCTCCGATTTTATACTGTCGACATCAAACGGAGTTATTTCATTACCGAAAGTTATCGTCGATTTCATGAATCTGCCTTTTCCTGTAAACACACATCTGTTAATCTCTGAACACATCGTTTTGTCTAAAAAATGTAATCAAACTCTTTAATTTATATTACCAATACGTTTATGGATAAAAAAAATTAAGGAGATGGTCCGAGAGTCGGGTCGAAACGTTTTATGACCGCCACCCTGGACCATCTCCTTCCTTTATAATGCAACGGTCAACTATTAAATATTCAATAGATAAAAATCATAATAATATTTAGTTATTTTTTTTATAATAATGAACAGTTTGTATAGGATAAATTTTAATATTTATTGAAGTATTGTGTTTTTGAATTATTGTATTTGTTTAAAATGGGACGTTCTTCCCTTCTTTAGGGACAGTCAATCTGAGAAATGATGATTAAATTAATTATTTACTGCATGCTTTTATTCAGTTTTCTATGATTACCTAGAAATAGGTCAAAATGTAAAGTAAAGAATTTTATTTAAAAAGTCCAGAGATCTGAAAATTATAGAAAAATTATTTTCCTATATCCTTAATATGTAGTATAAGCCTTATAATTTTTTAATTAAAGATGTTTTCTATCGCATCTTGATTAAATTTGTAATATTTTTGTTGCTTGAATATATTTTCTTCTATTTATTTATGTTACTAAAGTGACAAACACAACTGAAACTGTTGTCGGACATTGTATCTTCAAGTTATCACTACATTGTTAAGATAACAGCATTAAATTGCAAGATATAAAATAACATAATTTTTTTTTATATTTACTTTAAAACAATCAATACATATTCAATTTTTTGGAGGGAAACAGTCAATTAATTAATACAACTAGTGAGGTTGTGGGACTGGTTAAGGAGGGAATAACTTATGATGATTGGTAGTGTGTCGATGTTTGTATCTGTGAAAATACAGAACTGTCTAAACATCCTGTTTCTGGTGCTTTTGAAATGTGTAAACCCAGCTTTACAATAGAAAATGTACAAAGGTGTGAACACATTTAATTTCATTAAAAATTCCAGAAGTTTTGGATATTAATGAACTATCAATCGCCAAAACAGCTGTAATGATTTTAATGAAACTTGATTAAAGTCTTCTCCTTGAAGTCTTATTATTTGATGTAGATAACATATTTTCCCGAAAACAAGCTGTGAAAAATGTTACAATGATTCAGAATTTTATTCATAAATAATTCAAAAAGTACACAATTTTTTATGGATTATATCGATCTATTTGAAAGCTTTCTGTATTTCCTACAAAATGAAAAAAAAAAAAAAATCATTGAAATCTGACGTTTCGGCCGAGATTGCAATAGAAAAATAAAAATGTTTTTCCTCAAATTTTTACCGATTGAGCAGAGTGGATTGAAATATTTTTTTTGAAAATATTACTATGGTTTCACATTTTTATTTTTCTATGACTTAAAAAGTACACACTGTACTGGTACTGTTTTCTGTTGTACTTATATATAAAAGTAAATGTGGAAATATATTAGAGTAGAAAAAAAATGTTGGAAACATGCAAATTCAGTTATGTTTTCTTCAAATGTTCAATAATGATAATAATGAATTTCAACCACTGGACGAACATTAGTTTTATAAATAAGTTTTTTATCTATAATAATTTTGTTTTGGGCTGTTTTTTCTAAATGTGTTTTAAATAATTGTTTAAATGTGTTTTAAAATTTATTGCAGCTTTCCTAATGGACCGACGGGATGCTTGCCGACTTATAGGAAGTGTCTGGTGCTGCGAGTTGGCAGGTGGTGCGCACACGTTCATCAACGACACCTCCAAACCACAGAGGCCGCTCACTCTACCTCTTCCGCTCGAGCTGCCTCCTTTGAAGACGTTTTTCTCTCTTAGGCTGGAGCTGCAATTGATGTTGACGGATTTAAGAGTTGCAAATTCACATCAAAACGCTTCAAAAGCTGTACATTCCATTTCAAGGTATAAATAACGTTAATTTATTACAACTTGTAGTAATCCATTTTTCATATGAACTGTTGTATCAGGGTGGCAACCGAGTAATATGTAAATATTTTTTTCAAATTGGAAATAAATTGTAAATAACCTACTGAAAGTTAATTGTAAATGATTAGTTTTGGCGGGAATAGGCGAATAACCTTCCGCTTTTATATCGGGGATGAAGGTTATTTACACTCGTGAATTATTAAAACAAAACCCCGGCACTGGATATAGACTTTTTGAGGGTGTTTAACTGTCGTTGGGAATTCGGGAATCTAATACCTTTTGTGACATTGAGTGAGAAGAAACAATAAGAATATATATATATGTAATGTGGGACTCAGTAAACACTTTGAATGAATTGACTCATCTGAATTTATTCTTCAATTGTGAGGCATATAGGACAACTAAATAAAAGGACTATTCACTCCTGTCTAACAAAACAATTTATTTTAACAACTGATATAAGTGAATATATTAAAGTCTTATAACTGTAGGCTTGATATTCTTAGTCTTCAATGTAGTAAGCCTCTCTCCCCAGATGACGTCTTCTCGTCTTCGTGTCCAGGCTGCAAGTGTTTGGCGTCCTCTTCCAGCTGCTGCTATCTGATCGGACCTTTTTTCTTCTTTTCGATTGTTTATCAGTATGGGATTTTCCAATGAGCAATTTGTCCACTGCAAAATTGAGTAAAATTCACAGTGCAACCTCACATTCCTATATATTATAGATTCTTTCTCATTCTCTCACACAATGTCGTCTAAAGGAGTAAATACAGGGGGATGTCTACTACAAAATATACAGTTGATATAGTTTATAATGACCTTGAAGAAGTAAACTTTGTCCTTATAAGTGATGGTTGCTGTATTCATCCAGCTTTCACTGTCAATAATGGCACTGGTCGTTATATTGAAATAAAATTTAAGCAAATTGTAATTAAAAATACGATTTTTTGAAAAGAAAAACATAACAATACTATTTACTACTTGTAATATATATACTTCTGAGTAAAGATCTGGCTGCACTCGTTCGTTCGACCCACGATGATCCTTAAAAGAACATTTATTAACCGGAAACAGTTGGTGTCATGTGGATAATTACTATGCTGTTGGAGGTGGAACCGTGGAGCAGTTCCAAACACAGCAGTCGTAGAGAAGTCGTTCTCATACAGCTGAGGACCGGACATACTAGACTAACAAACCTCCACCTCATAACAAAAGATCTTATCCCCAGAAGTCAAAAGTGTGACCAGTAATTAACTATAGAACATGTTTTGGAAGAGTGCCCTTTTTACACCGTAAGGTTAAAAGATCTCGGAATACCGCAAAACATGTCAGCATCCTAGGGAAACCAAGAAGAAATCATTACCAAAATTATGAATTTTCTAGACAATAAAAGACTCAAAAAACATATATGACACGTTTATAACTAATGATTATTTGCAATTTTTTTTTTTTTAATTTTGAGAGTTCATTTATTTATTTATTTCAATTCATTTATCGATTTTATTGCTATTTTTTTTAAGTTTTATTGTTTGTACCAACTACCTAAACAGTATAAAAGTAGTATTATTTTGTTGATCGGGGGCTGATGACATGGATGTTTTGCGGCTAGACATCAAAACAAATACACAAAACTATGCTGTTTATTGTAATAAAGAAACTAAATTACTTATAAGGAACTACAACAATATTAGAATCCTCCGTAACTCACTTTATTATATGATGGAGAAAATGGGAGCTTTATATGTCAAGTATCGACCTCCTTTCAGTTTATGAAAATAAAATAAAAAAAAACAAAATAAATTACTATAAGTTTAGTTTTCTAAAATATAAAATCCTAATCAAGCTTAAAAATGCTTCTTCTAAAATATGATATTTATTATTTAAATGACAATTTTTTTTTTTACTCAAATCATTTTGTAGTCAATTTTCTTTCATTATAATAAATAAATTTAGTTATAAATTATACATTTTTAATATTTGTGTCCCCAGACATATTTGTCAGAGAAAACTATCATTAAATAGAGAAAAGTATGGAAATTTTACTTTAACTGTCGTAGCCACCCTGTATGCTTAATAAAACCAGTGCACCAATTTTTAACCAGAGTTTGAAATCAATAAATAAAAAAATTAAAGCTGATCAAAATTATTATCTGGAATTTTTAAAAATCACTTGATGATTGTTATTTTTGATCATTAGTGATTCAAATTATATCCTGATCATTATTTTTGAACAAAATTTTTACAATTAACAATAAAAATTCTTGAGCAATACTTTTTTAAATCAGAAATATAATTTTTTTGTAATCTCTATGATATATTTGAAGTTTACAGTGTTAGGTGGACAATATTGTTAAAATATTAGGAGAATATGTTGTCAACTATTAGCAACAGAACATCTTTATTTACGAAATTCATAGAAATTTTGGCTTCTAAAAAAAAAATATATATTGTGCAAGTACCGCATGCACAATTAAAGTTGTTTCAGAAATATAATATTTAAAATATATATATATATTAATAACATATACATACATATTAATATTTAATTTAATTTGTGTGTAAAAGGTGTAATGATTGTGTATAGACAAAAACAAAGGTTGAGTAAGTTCCCAAATAAATTAATCTATATATTTTTCAACAATGTACAACATCACGTGTTTTTACATTAATTTCGAACAATAATAATAATCCATACTACAAAGGTGATTTTTTTTTATTGCTATTTAATCATTATTATTTATATAAAAATGTATCACTCAGTGAATGATCATTATTTTTTATAAAATCAATGAACATCAAAGATCGATATAAATTTTTATTTATAAATCAAGCATGATTTTATAGAAAAAATAATTATCGATTTCAAACCCTTTTTTTAATAACTACTTAATATTCAAAATGAAAAATATTATAGTCTATGGCTACATAAAATTGAGAGTGTAAAAGAAAATTCAAAATGTAAAATAATAGTAATAATGGTATGAAATTGTTGACGGCAATTCTAATTTAAGGAGTAATCAACAATTTCTCACTTTCATTCTTTTATCTTGTCTTATTTACATGCCACACTTATATTTCTTGTTTTTCTGAAGTATTTTTTTAATTTTTAGCTCTGATAATGGCCCACATAGTTAGGCTGAAATGTCAGCAATCCTAATAAACAATATAAAGGCTATATCCTGATTATTATTTAATTTATATTAATATCTCTATCTCTAGTTTATTAATTTTATTTGTAACAAATTTTGAATTAATTTTGTTGTCTATGTTGTCTATCCAATTAGATACCTGAGGCTGCTCAGTTGGAGCGATGATAAATTTGACGATCTCGATTGGGAGCAGAGCTTCAAGCGATACTTGATGACTCTTCCAGCAAGCCCATCCGACCAAAAGCTGCTTATCAGTATACTTCAAGTACTGGCTCAGCTGATTGGTGAGGAATTTCATTCCTGCTTTCATTCATCTTTCTTTTGTTTCTGATAATTTTGTTTAAATTGTAACAGTCATTTGTTTTAACAGAAATCGTGAAAAGTCAATCTGTATGGATTTCAAAAGTCATCAAGGAACCAACGAATATGCTGTATACAATTTTGGCGCAGTCCACTATAGAAGAGACAACAGTTTTGGTTAGTTAAAATTATTCGATTATTGTTCTATTTTATAAATTTCAAACTTTCTTTTTTTTTTTTTTGCTTTCTTACAATGTAGGCAAGCTTTGTATTTGTGCGAGAAGTTAAAAAAAATTGTTTCTTCAGAATTGAAAATGTCCACTTGCGTTTTACATTTTGGATATTAAGTAACAAATTTGATCCTGTGTCTTTTTTTAATTTAATTTTATTTGTTTATCACCCCATACCTCACGATTTCTGATATATAGATAGGAGAGAGAGGGTTTGTTCTAGAGGGTGGTCTACTGCCCTTAATTCTATTATGAAGAAATTTTCAGGAATTGTGTGAGTAGGTCTCATATCAATTTCTTCAAATTTCATCCACTGCTTTCGCTTCTGTAAAGGTGATAATTATGAAAAACCTATATGTAAAAAACTTTAGTTCAAAGTTAGAGGAAAATTAGGGATTTGTAGAAAAATAATCCATTATCGATTTTATCAAATTTCATCTCCTATTTTCACTTATAGATGCACAAACATATATTACTCTTTACGCCTATATTTTAAAAATACCTCGTTTGGTTTGGCACAAAGTGGAAAAAATTTGGGGAACAATGTACAAATGGTCTGGTATCAATTTTCATTAAAACAATTGAAATTATTATAATTGTCATGAAATGATGTTAGCAGTAATTTTTAAATAATGAATTTCTGAATTTTTTATGATGTTTCACATCGCACGAATCTAACAATTTAAGATGCTATATATTCTTTTATTTTCTATTAGAGAAAGGAGATGTCAATGGAGTTACTGATTTTGGTCGAGAAGTGCGTGCGTTACAGTCCACACGATGATTGGGAGTCGTTGGCTATGATACTACTCCAATCGTTGAACCACAGTCACTCCCAGAAATTTTACAGTTTAGGTAAATTAAATCATTTCATTAATTAATAGTTCAGCTTTGTGTTGATTTTAAAAGGCCTATGATTCAATTGCCTATAAGAAGTCATATTATATTTAGATTATATGGAAAATATCAAAGAAATTAGCTAATCAAGAAATGATGTTTATATCTCAAATATTTAATGGAGTCGGAATGTAGAAGAGGTCTTGTAAAGTAATTCAGAATTGTCTATTATTAGGAATTCATTACATTAAAAGATTCATTCTTAGCATTATATAAAGAATAAAAAATAATTGTTTTAATTTTTACTTACACTTTCCTATATATGAAATATAGAGTTTGTCTATATTTTTGTGTATTTTGTTAGTTTGTATAAGATATTTTATTTATTTAATGTAGTCCTCCAGAAGTATTCTTTTGTAAAATTTTGTTATTCTTAAGGGTCTTTGTCCCAGAATACAGTTATTTTTCGATCTAAACAAAAAAAAACTCTAGAATTCACTCACTGACATTTGTATCATTTAAAGGAAAGCCAAATCCTACTGATTGTAATGTCATGTAACCAACGTATCCAGGCGGAAACTCAATCTTCTTTGCAGTATTGTTGCAAACTGCAAGTAATTTCAAGAAATTTATAAATAATAAAGATTTTGAAAATATATTAATGTAATTTTTGGCTGAACAAACAGGTCCCCAACCTATTATATGTGTGATACTAATAATAGTAAAAATATTAGATTTATTATCTTGATCTGTTTTCAGCTGTAGTTGACCGATTGTTGAGTGTCTTGATAACCACCGCAGAACATAATGATGGCCCTCTTAAGGTGTCACAAGTTCCGTTGTGGAAGCTATTAGCTGCCTTCCACTGTCCGTCGCAGACATCATTTATGGGGCTCACGATAACAAGGCGTCTCCTGTTTGCTCTTAATGTCATAAATTGCTCTTTCAAGGTTGGTTACATTCTATGATATAATTTTTCTATTGCAATGATTTTATAGATATACCATAAAGTTAGTAAATTATGAATAAAATAATAACAGTATCTGAGAACTATAAAATAAATGATAACAGTAACAAAGCAGGAAATAATGAAATAAGGTAACATAAGAGATGAAAAATGAATTAACGACGAAATGTAATGGAAAACACAAGATGAAAAATGTAAACATTTTTAGCCTACAAATGTTCTTAGCCCATTAGTTAAGTATCATTCTTAGCCCTGATAAAGGCCTGAACTTTGGGCCGAAACATCAGCAAAAATAAATATTTATTATTATTTATTTATTTATTTTACAATTTTTTTGACTGAACACTCAAACCAATCTTATCTTTAATTAATCTAATAATAATTTGTTAAATTTTATATCATAATAGTTAATAAGTCATGAAATGATGAAAGTCAACCAAAAGAATTAGACAAAACTCAAAAGATTGATAAATCCAAATAAACCTTTCAAATCAACTGTTAAACTTTATTTACTAATTTTACCTAATTAGTCCTATACCTTTACTAATTTGTCCTATATAATCTCGTTAATTTGAAAATTTGGGGTTTAGGTTATGCCAAACGGCCCAATATTTTTGAATGCCATCTTTTTTATCGATTTTGTGATCAAATTATCTTACAGTCCGAGTAGAAAGCAAATGGGTATTTAAGAGTTTTTAGTGCCTAATTAAATAGACAAAGTTTGCTCCCCTCCAGATTGAAAACACCCCAATTCCAAGAGTTTTCATAAATAAAATAGTTGTAGGTTGCGATGAGATGAAACTATTTACGAAGTTTCAGGCGGATGTTAATTATTCGATAAAAAGGGGTCTGTATCACGTACTACAAAGTTTGTCAATTATTAGTACAAAATTGACTTGTATCCATTATTTTCTGGAATATCTTGAAAAATTCTCCATTAGTATTATAATCACTATGCCCTCTTGCTTCCATTATGCCCTACTCTGTATTTTAGATTGTCTTGAAAATAAATAGAAACAAGTCAATATTTGATTTGAAAAATATTTTGAAAATTGCAAGAAAAGGAAAAGGGTCACGAAAATGAAAAATAATTCGAAATGTTAACAAAATGAGTTAATAAGTTAATTCCTGTTTACCATTTAGCAGGATACAGTGCTGCCAGAAGAAGTCTCGTGGCTCGGAAAGCTGCTTGAGGTGAGAGATCCTCTGTTGGTGGGAGCTGCCTTAGAACTCTGTTCTCGCCTCGGAGGACAGCAGGCAGCGATGGCAACTTTACTCAGCAGCTTACCGGACCTTTGGAGAGTTGTGCTCAGGTAACTGTTTTATATAAATTTACCTCTTTTTTTAGGTTTTAACGGCCCTTTACACGGTCAATATTATTGAAGAAATATAATTGTAGGCAATATATTGAAGGCTTCCTTCATACCTGTCTATTGTATTGAGTAAATATTAAGTCAAGTCACCTTCATTTATTTTTCTGAACATGAATAATAGTGAATTTCATATTATTCTAATTTCCATCGCTAAAGGATTGTATAATATAAATAGCATCAGTTTATTGGAAAAAAATCATTAAGTACATTTTTGATGGAGTTGAACTTTTAAGAATGTACGTTAACGTTAATTTTGACCTTATTTATGGATAAGAAAAAGCACAATTGATGCACTAAAATGTCAAAAACGTTTATTCATATCTAATATATTTACAAGCCAAAAATTTTCTGATTTCACTGAGGGAGAATTCATCTAAGTTCTTTTTGTCATTTCAGATTATGAAGTGCTACTTAATTACTTTTTGCAAGAACAGAGTTCTTTTAATATATATATATATATATATATATATATATATATATATATATATATATATATATAATATAATCACCATATCTCTCATATATCCTGCCGTGCAATTTCTACCCTCAAACTATTCCATCACTTCCACCATCTTCTACCCCAAAATACCCGTAGACTCCTAGTTTCCTCTCTCATCTTTCCCCACTTTGACTACAGCTGTGTGGTGTACGATGGCCTCTCGGTGGAACTCCGTGATCGACTCAAAAGACTTATGAATAGCTTCGTAAGATTTGTAATTGGGACCCCGAGACGCTCCCGTGTCTCCCACGCTGAGTTAGGGTGGCTCTTCCCTTCCTTAAGAAGACAATATTTCCTAGGCACTTTCCTTTATCAAATCATTACCGATCATCGTCCTTTTTATGCCTACAACCTTCTCCAATTTAAGTCCTCAATCCATTCCCTCACTACAAGATCCCGATCCTCTGACCTATACATCCCTTCTCATAGATCTGCCTCATTCCAAAATTCCTTTATAGCCCGCTCTGTCAACTTTTGGAATTCCCTCCCGATCAAAATTCGATATGGCCCTTCCCTATACACATTCAAAAACCTCCTATTCCAGTTCCTGTTCCAAAAACAGTCAGATACCAGCTAACTATTAATATTATATATGTATTGTGTAGCAATCATATAATCATAATACTTGGTAAGAGATAGTACATGCATTTCCTACTATCGACGTAGGAATTTCAATATAGATAGATAGATAGAAAAAAAACACTTTATTCTGGGACTAAGTCCCTTCAGAATAACAATAATGTACAAAATAATAGAATATTACTGGCCTGAATGTTGAAACAATAAATAAAATTGATAAAATAAAATAAAAAGTAAAGAAAACCTTAGGTGCACAAGCTATATACAATACAGATAAAACTATGTACAGAGCATTTAAAATTATGAACAAAACAATTAAAACTATGAACGAATCACTTGAACTATGAACAAAATTATATTTAAGGGTTGAACAACATAAACATACACTTTGAGAAATGAAGAACAAAAAAGAGATACAATGAGTTCATTTCATAAAAAATAACAAACAAAAAAAAAAACTTTACTTGAATATATATATAAAAATAAACAGTTACTTATAATTGAATAAAAAAAAAAATGTATGTATTGAAATTCCTACGTCGATAGTAGGAAATGCATGTACTATCTCTTACCAAGTGTTATGATTATATGATTGCTACACAATACATATATAATATTAATGATTAGCTGGTATCAGACTGTTTTTGGAACAGGAATTGGAATAGGAGGTTTTTGAATGTATACAGGGAAGGGGCATGTCGAATTTTGATCGGGAGGGAATTCCAAAAGTTGACAGAGCGGGCTATAAAGGAATTTTGGAATGAGGCAGATCTATGAGAAGGGATGTATAGGTCAGAGGGTCAGGATCTTGTAGTGAGTGAATGTATTGAGGACTTAAATTGGAGAAGGTTGTAGGCATAAGAAGGACGATGATCGGTAATGATTTGATAAAGGAAAGTGCCAAGGAAATATTGTCTTCTTAAGGAGGGGAAGAGCCACCCTAACTCAGTGTAGTGGTGGGAGACACGGGAGCATCTCGGGGTTCCAATTACAAATCTTACGAAGCAATTCATAAGTCTTTGTTATATATACATTTTTTGTTTTTTTTTATTCAATTATAATTAACTGTTTATTTTTATATGTATATTTTTCGTTCTTCATATCTCAAAGTGTATGTTTATGTTGTTCAAGCCTTATATATAATTTCGTTCATAGTTTTAATTGTTTTGTTCATAATTTTAAATGCTGTGTACATAGTTTTATCTGTATTGTATATAGCTTGTGCACCTAAGGTTTTCTTTACTTTTTATTTTATTTTATCAATTTTATTTATTGTTTCAAACGTTTAGGCCAGTAATATTCTATTATTTTGTATTCTGTTACATTTACAGTTTGTACATTATTGTTATTCTGAAGGGACTTAGTCCCAGAATAAAGTTTTTTTTTCTATCTATCTATCTATCTATCTACATATATATATATATATATATAATAAAAATCAATATGATGAAAACCTGGCGGTTGAGCATGATCGCTGATAAATCACCTCTCACTTGGTGTGCAACAAGGAACTGTACTTTCCCTGAATAGTACTGAACCCAAGACCCTTCATGGATTGTATTGCTACAGTTTTCTATGTATATGTATTTAAAGAAATTAATTGTTTTCAAATGATTGCACATTTTTGTATTATTAAGTCAGTGAAACTGGTATGTATTTATTGAGTTTTAATCTTTTATTGCCAGTGTTTTTCCTGAACACTGTCTATAATCTGACTCTTCCCCCCCTCCATAATAATTAGTTCTGAATAGTGATGTTGTATTGTAAATCCATTTTATTTAAGAAATCTATTTTTAAAGCCTTACATGCTTTTTTATTTTAATCAATGCCTGATACAGGATATTATTGAATGACGGTCAAGCAACTCTGGTCAGAGAGCATGCGGCTATATTGTGCTGCAATATTGTCGGAAGTACACAAAATAAGGTATGCTGGACGTTGAACCATCATTAATTCTTTTAATAAGTTAAAATATCATTAATATGATTATTATTTGATTTGCAGAACTATGTTACGGATGCTGTAGATAAAGATATTTTTAAGTCATTTAACTTAATTTATATGAAATATCAAGCAGCCAACAGATCGAATGAGAAATCCATTTGTTTATACCGAGCCAAGAGAGGTATATCGATATATGTATAATATAGATCAATTTTGTAGATGCTAAATTTTTAAACTTAAGATTCAATTATTTGACCATAATTTGAAGTAAGTTACATTATATATTTCTATACCACTTGGCAGGTATGCTTCAGTGTTTCAATCCGAGATACTGGCAATCTGCCACTGTGTACAAAACCTACTGCAAACCAATGTGACTGAGAAAAAGATCACCATCTTTACTGACAGTCAGGCAGCAATAGGTGCTCTTGACAATTATTATGCTTATTCAAAGGTCGTTAAGGAATGCAATAGAGCACTTAACGAGCTAACTGAGCACAACAGAGTTGCAGTGGAGTGGGTGCCAGGCCATTCTGGCATACCGGGCAACGAGATGGCTGATGAGCAAGCCAGGTTGGGCTCAGATACTATTCCTATAACTCCCGAGCCTGTCTGTGGAATCAGCCTTAGTACTGCCAAGGGCAGGATCAGGGAGATCTATGGGAACAAATTTAGGAATTACTGGACCGACAAGAAACAGAGACACTCGAAGCTGTTCCTTAAAGGCCCATGTAAAAAAAGAAGTGAACAGCTACTGAACATGGACAGAGCAGCTCTTAAAAAACTCACAGCGATCTACACAGGTCACTGTAAGTTAAATAATCATATGTTCAATCTCCGAGTAATGACGAATCCGATATGCAGATTCTGTCAGGAGGAGAATGAAACAGCTTTTCACATCATATGCAGATGTGACAAGTTTATAAGGCTGAGACTGGCGTTATTTGGGGAGGAACAGATGGATCTCCCCAGTAGATTTGAGTCGGTTAACCCAACCAGCCTACTGAGATACGCGGAAGCGACAGGACTAACGTTTTGAATAAGACGACCTAGCGAATATTGGCGCACAATGGACCCAAAGGGGTCGACGTGCTTAAAGCCAACATTTAAAAAAAAAAAAAAAAAAAAAAAAAGTTACATTATGATAATTACTATACACACTAGTAGGGCCTGTGCGAAGAATATATTGTTTAGTGATAAAATAACAAATTAATAAGAAAATAAAATAATGCAACATATCATAAGATAGAGAAATCAATTGTTACTTTCTCGCTAAATATAATCGACACAGGAAATAAAAATTAATTTAAAATTTCATTAATGTTTGGAAGCTACATGTTTACAAATTTCAATAAGCTGTATTTTGGCTTATAATTGTCCGATTTTGATGATTTTTTTTTCTTTTTGTAGAGAATTTGATAATCTTTTATATAATCATGGACATTGTGTAACGCCGTATAGCTTATGTAGTCCGAACTTCCTGTAAAGTTTTGTGAGGATAAGTGGAGTCATTTTTATGTTATCTCACTATGTGATTTTCGAAACAAATTCACTTGGTTCAGATTTGGTGCAAAAAATAATTTTTATTTTTTGGTTTCTATGAAAATTAGTATTTGAGGCTTTATCAAAGTACGAAATAAAAATCTCAACTCTGTTTTCCCTTAAAAAAATATTTGAACTCACTTTCTTCCTTCGGTCAGTACAAATTGTTTTAATGTTGTACTCATACTATAGCTATATTATATATATATATATATATATATATATATATATATATATATATATATATATATATATATATAAAAATTTCTCGTCGATTTTGACAATTTTTTTTTCCTTTTGTATGAAATTTAGTAATATTTTATATTATCATTAATATAAGCAAGGGAAAAGTGTGTAATTTTTTAGATATTCGCAAATAAGGTTTCTTTTCTTTCAAAACTTTTTTTGCCTGAATTTTCGGGGTGATTGGACTATTTTGCCTGCGACTATTTTTAAAAATTGGCGGCTCAATCTTGGGATTTGATGAAGAATTAACGGTGATACGGCTTACTGACAAAAACACCTTTGATAAAGAATGTAAACTCCTTTCTCAATCGTAGGACCTCAAGTCAGCGAAACGAGACATGTATTCCATGACAGTACTACAATTAATGTAAGGTTGTGTGAATGCGAACCCTTTGCCTTGCATTATCTCGAAAATAGTACTTTTTTGGGCTTAAGAACGCAGGGTGTGATAGTTTCAAAGGTTAGTTTTTTTAAAATTTATAATTTTTTTTTTAGATGATTATTCAGCGAGTAAAAATGGACAGCAAGGAAGGACCTATATATCTCCTGTGTTGACATCTTCCATTTGTTCTCTAACTGTAAACCTGATGTCGAAGGATCCTACTAAAATAATTTCAGCTGCTCTATCTAGTGGCTTCATTCAAAACTTAGCTAGGTTGGTAAACTTTTAACATTTTAGACTTTTAATTATTTAATTTGTTTTCCTAAATATTGTTTTGATGTTTGCTATGAGCTTATAGAATTTTTTTATATTTCATTTTAGTTAGATTCAAAATTATTATTACATGGTATTTTACCATTATTTTCTAATTACTCACAATATATACAACTGTTTTGTTATAATATTATTTAAAAGGACAATTCACATCATCACTACGGATCGACTACGGAACCAGGAATGTTCGGTTTTATCAAACATTGTCCTAAATCTTATGGTTTACTCTTTATTGACATGAGTTGGGATCAATTGACAAATAATTTTCCCAGTCCACACACTCGATAAGTTTGGAATTAGTGCTCCAGCCTTTGCTTTCAATGTATGTTAATTTATAAAGGAAGGAGATGGTGCGGGGTTGCGGTCATAAATAGGCTAAATAGCGATAAAACTATTTTATTGAAAGTCGACGTTTCGACCCGACTTTGCAGGTCTTCTTCAGGGCTAGAACGGACAAGATACAAAAAGATAGAGAATCGTGGCAGTTACATAATATTTAGACAAAATTTATAAACAATGTGAATAAGCATATTAAAATTATAAACAGTAAGTACATTAAAATATGAACAAATTAAGCTAAGTAACAAGATCCTAAACTAGAAATTCCAGTTCTAAGGGAAACTCCTAGCTGAACACACCTGTAAGTCTAATTTTATTCTTCCATTTTATTTACTCATTTATTTAATCTTTGGTTTTCTTTCTCCACATTCCTTTATGTCTGTTATTTCATATTATATCCTTTTTCCTTTTCTTTCAATCTCTCCTGTAGATCTGTAGAAGTATATTCACATTTGCATTTATTATATGTTACACTACAACAATTGTTAGCATCTATTTACTTCAGTTTAGGATCTTGTTACTTAGCTTACTTTGATCATATTTTAATGTACTTACTGTTTATAATTTTAATAAGCTTATTCACATTGTTTATAAATTTTGTCTAAATATTATGTAACTGCCAAAATTCTCTATCTTTTTGTATCTTGTCCGTTCTAGCCCTGAAGAAGACCTGCAAAGTCGGGTCGAAACGTCGGCTTTCAATAACATAGTTTTACCACTATTTAGCCTATTTATGACCGCAACCCCGGACCATCTCCTTCCTTTATAATGCAACAGTCAACTATTAAATATTCCATATGTTAATTTATAAGTTTGAATAACCAAAGTCTTCTTAAAAATGGAATGTTATTTACACATTTTTAAGCCCTCTGCCATACATTTTTTTTTTTTTATAATAGTTTGATTGAAGTTAATACATTATTACTTTCACTTACCTAGAGGCTGTAATGGTCGAGAATGTCAAGGCATAAACTTTAACATTCCGAAGTTTAGTGATGCCGGCTGTTTGAATTCGGCCTGGGCTGGTTGAAATTTATTTCATAGCGAACCCATGGAATAAATCTCGACCTTCTCATTCTGTTTGGAATAGGTTTGGTTGTACCGCTAGAGCGTACTTGCCGACGGTCGGGAACCAACAACTTGTCTGGCCTCAAGCTGGGCTGTAATTGCCATGGATTATATCGGCTGGAGGCAAGGCAGAAAGTGAGCACTATAGCATGGATTGTCACCACCACTACACTCTTTATTTACTCATTGGAAATTCAAATAAAATAAAATATATATATTGTAACATCTCTCTTATATTTTACAAATAATAATAATATAACTTCGGAAGCTCACTTCTTACCATTGGGATACTTCCTAAATAAATAAGAAGTTGTTTAATAATAAACAAAATTATAAGAGAATTAATATATTTATTTATCTCAGGTGTGGGTTGATCAGATCAACTCAGACAAACTATTATTATTCACACTATTTATACTATAATTAAACACTGATTTTATAATAAAGTCAAGTATGGATTGGCAAGCTAACCTTTTTTCTATATTTACTGTTTCTTCCTTTGTTGCACTGAATTCATTTGTCTTCAAATACTTCCCAATGTTCTGCCAAACACAATTTCCAAAATGGTAATACTATTATTGGTTTTTTTTTTCCTGTTCTTCCCTACCTTGCCTTTTAGGCTATACGTGATTTTCCCGGACCACAGGGTGAGGGCGGGGAATTTAAAATCCCCTCTGGCACCGGGACGCGAACTCGTGACTATTTTCATATCATAGAATCATATATCCGGTTGCCGGGCAACGGCGGTGCAGTGCACACGCGTTAGCCCATTCGGCCACTCCGCCCTCAATACTATTGGGTTTTACCCATTGGAGCCAGGATCACTTCTCCCATCCTCTCTTCACTGTAGCCACACAACTGCTAGCCAAAACAAAACCTTTGTCCCTCTCCTCTTTCGGATTTTCCTTCTTGGGAAACTACAGAATAGCCATTTTCTTTTCTCTGCACTAGTGGAAATAGATTAGCTTGCCTCTTAATTGTTCAACATTAATTTATTGAATCCTTTTTACTCACTTCCAATAAAGGTGTACATTACAATATACTAATATTACAAATGTGTTTTAGATAAAACTCAGAATTTTTATTTACAAAAGATCCACTAATATTATTAAAATTTATCTAGTAACAAGCAATTATTTTTTCGTATGGTAATTAATCGTTTTAAGTGAATAGTTTCTGTCATTTTTGCTTTAATTTCCATACATATGAAAACAGCTGTATATAAGTGAAAGTTGTGTGATGTGCATACAGCACCATATTTTTTAATACAGTAGACTGCTACTTATCCGTCCTCATCGGGATTAAGACTTCAACGATCAAGTTTGGGTGCTGGTTAATACGGAGTGTAAAAAGCCAAAAAAAAAACTCCAATATTTTTTTTTAAACTTCTATATTATGGAAAAATCGTGAAATTTTTATCTTCCAATGACACAACTTGTTTTTGTTTTTTTTCACTCATTTTGTCACACTAGGTAATTGAATGAAAGGTTTAAGACAACTGAGAACGAAAACGTAGTACACAAACAAAAACCTTTTAGACTAAAACTTTTTCAAGAAAATGTGTCATGTTTAACGTCGGTAATATACACATTTACATTACTGTGTTGGCAGTTAAACAGTATTTCTTCTTCATTTCTTTTTTAATTTTTTTATGAAATAAATGAAGAATAAGGATTTTGTTTCAAGAATTAATTTTATTTCGAATAGAATAAAAAAATAATAAACAAACCTTTTTGTCTATTTTCAATCTATTTAAAATATATCGAACCACAATCCAACAAAAATTAACTTTGTAACCAGTGGTTGAGAATCTCATAAAGTTATAAGTGCTTTTAAGGATGTTAAATTTTTTTTTTTCTTTTATCGCTACCACCAATTAATCTGGAGAACTGTTAAAGTGGGAGTCTACTGTACTTCAAATGGATCTCCTGAAATATTGTGAATATTGAGTTATGGTAGTACAGCAAATGAGTGATATTAAATTTCGATGCAAAGCTCCTCAATTCTTAGGGAAAATATTATTAATTGTATTTTTAATATGAAAATTATAATTAAGATTTTTTGTACACAGTGATATCTGCAACTGGCAATGTGAAAAACTTAATAATCAAGAAATTATAAAAATGTATGAATCAGTTCTGAGACTTTTGGTTTATGCCTGCAGCGACTCTAAGTCTAGTATCAGTTTATTGGATTCTATCCCGACCCTCATCTGGCTCTTACTACCATCTTCTTACAGTAAGTCTTGTTGTATTTTTGCATAGTGAAGTTCCAAACAACTTTTATAATTTTTTACCATGATATTTAACACCTGTTCCATAACTGTCAACAAAATTTGTGTTTACATTTTTATGAGGAAGCATTATTAGATTGTAAAACAGGTATTGCTTAATACGATCATATAATAGTACCTTGATAAAAAATGTTTGATTTGACTTTATAACCTTATAACTCCTTGTGTGAAGGTTATTCACACAAAGTTTGATAAACAGTTATCATGAATTTTGATTGATCAAGCAGTGCTAATTATAGTATTAGCTATAGTAAGTTGAAACATCGGTTCAGGGTGTGCTCTTTGGCATGCCATCCTCTCCAGTTCGGACCAAAGCTGATAATCTATTGGGTTGAGATCAGGACTTCCTGAGGGCCGATCCGAGGCAGATATGAATCTGGAATGTTCTTTTGCAGCCCATTCTGATTTGACCTGGCCTTGTGAACTGGAGCGGAATCCTGCTGGAAAACCCAATGACTTCCAGCAAACAGAGTATCATTTAGAGGCTTGACAACAGGTTCCAAAATATCGTCCTGATAGTTTTTAGCGGCTGTATTAACTCCTTTTTCACAAAAATGGAGCTTTGTGATGCCATCAAAGTAAAATCCCCACCAAATCATCACTGAGGAAAAGTGATGACCTCTTTTCACTGTTATGAAGTCACTGTATGACTTCCTGGGCTTCTTTAGAGCTGTGTGCGTAAACATGATCATTTCTCGATTACATTTTTCTTCAATTGTTAAAATGTTCTCATCGCTAAACAAAATCTTTCGATCAAGACCATTGGTGTAACGGCCAAGGAGCACTTTGCATCTATCCACTCAAAATTTTTTTAGGGAAGTGGTTAGCCTTTGTCCTGTCATTCTTCGAAACACACCCATCCTAAGGTCACTTTTATCATGAAAGACATTGATCTGACAGATATTCCCATTTCCCGAGACATGATTTGTCGTTTTCGAATGAGATTTCTTCTGATTGGTGCAGCCACTGCTCCCACTGCATTTGTCGTTCTCACAGTGCGGGTCGAGATCTGTCACATACAGATAGGATCTCATAATATTTATTTATACTGCATTACACGAACATACGGCTGATACCCAAAGGTTTCAAAGTGTTGAAAATATCTGACCTACATTTTCTAACTTTATGTATGGCGATCACAGCTTTTTGGTTTTCTTTATTATCACCCCTTAACTGAGCGAAAGAAAACTACAAACTAATTGGGATTATTATCCTGACATGTAAAGAAATAACCTGGTAGAGGTAAGGATTATCTTAATAATACCCAAGGATGTTAACAAAGTTTAACTTTTGTTACAGTATTTATGGCAAAACTGGGTAGTTCATAGGATAGGTATTCAAAGTAATCAGGCATAGGAACATAAAAAAAAAAAAAGTGCCTTGGAGCCTTAATTTTATGTATGAACAACAATATTTAAATAAAAATTCTATTAATTTTTATTCTAAATAGCACTTTTGATTAAATTATTTAAACAATTTAACCAGACACTTAATTTTAGGTGAAGGATTGAAAAGTGATGGTATTGTGACCGAAAGCCTGAGGCTGATTTCAATTGTGCTGTCGAGAGGTGATCTCCAGAAGATGACCACAGATCCGCAAATACCTGGAGAAGGAGTTTCTGTTCTGTGTGCTGCCGCTCGCTCTCAGGATCCTGGGCTGGAGTCAGCAGCCGCTGCAGCTATCAGTGTACTCGCCCCGTACCTCACTCAGGGTAGGTTTATCTTTTAAATATTAATTTATAGCTAAGCTCATTTATTTTCTACATTAGTCACATATCCAGAATGAATGAGGCATAATTCATATTAAACACTAGTTATATTTTACAAAGGTGTTTTCTTTAAATACACATTGCTGGTAGAAGGCCTATTGGTTTGCGAAACAAGAGTAAGCATTTTTTAGTCAGTTTGTCACTTGTTTTGAAACGCGAGTCCACCACCACATTCCTGAACACAAACAAGCCAACAAGGAGTGGCGGAGGAAAGGAAGAGTAACTCCAGTGAAAGTGTTTTGCATGAACAAAACACAATCAATGCTGCTTATATACTGCAAGCTGTTGAACAGGGTGAGGATTACATATTACTGCAAAAGATACAACCAACTGATTTTATGGGTCATCCTTCTCCATAACAATGGAAACACAGACCCCATACAGCAACTCTAATGGTCCCTCAATGACCGGAAATGTACTAGACTCAACTTGATGAACCTCCTTAACTTGATCAGCACAGACCTATCGTCCTGTGATTCCCATTAATCCGAGAGTCCGTGAGAAAAAATTGACATTATTTGATGAAAACTTAAACACATTTTTTTGAATATTTATAATAAAAAGTGAGAGTCTGTCAGTTGAATCCTGCTACTTGTAAAAATTGTGGCTGATCTAAAGAATATTAGACCACTAACTTGAGGAACAAAATGGGAAAATCACAAAAAATTCGGGAAGTTTTTTTTTTTTTTGTATTTATTCGTTGAGACGCGTAAAAAACAAAATTGCTATCACAGACCATCAAAGGAAAACTTTTTACTCCCAAAAAAGCCAAATTTTTTTGATATTTTTTGTTTTTTCACCTATTACTTACTCCTAAACAGTGCATCGAAGTGAAAAATGTACTCTTAAAAATATTAAAGAACATTAAATTTTGCATCGAACGAGTACCTAAACTTAATAATTTGGTTAAGTGGTATGATCGATAACCACAGTCAACCAACGCTGATGTTTACCAAATTTATCAAAAACTGATACTAATTACTATAAAAAGAGTTCTCTAAGGGAACTCATAGAATAAAAGTTTTAGAACATAAAATTCCGCGTTCATTGTGTATCAATAGTTTTAATATAGGTTACTTACTCTGCTCGAAATCTATTGTGAATAGCGATGGCTAGATATTTGTAATGAAGATATCTGTAATTTTAAATATTTCAACAGTATGAGTGTCTCTTCTACTGAGTTATTCTTGTTAAGAGTCTATTATATACAGTATAGGACTCTTTTCCACTTCTCAACAGCGAAGGATTTTGAGAAATGATGTATAAAAAAAATTATTTTTTATGAAACAAAATTCCCATATAGAATTTTCTGAAGAAATAACATCACAATTCGAGAGATATATTTGATCTACATAAAAACTGTCAATACTCAGTGGATACAAAATTTGAGGCTCTACAACTTTTATTTTATGAGTTTTTTTCTCTTAGAGAATTCATTTCCAAGCTGTAGCGCAATTTATATTAATTATTATCAGTTTTTGATGAATTTGGTAAAAATCAGCTTTGGTTGATCGTGGTTATCGATCATACCACTTAACCAAATTATTAAGTTTAGGTACTCGTTCGATGCAAAATTTACCATTGTTTATTTTTTTTAAGAGTTACTTTTTTTGCTTCGATGCACTATTTAGGAGTTATAGATGAAAAAACAAAAAAAGATCGAAAAAATTAGGCTTTTTTGGCTGTAAAAAGTTTTCACTTGGTTGTCCGCATTAGCAATTAGTTTTTTTTTATGTCTCAACGAATATATACAATTTAGAAAAACAAAAACTTTTTTCACTTTCGATCCTCAAGTTACTGGTCTAATAATCTTTAAATCAGCCGCCATTTTTACAGGTAGCAAGATATAACTGGCAGATTCTAATTTTTTTAATATAAATGTTATAAACATTAAAACAATGCTTTCCAAGTGTTCGTCAAATAATGTCGATTTTTTTCTCATGGACTACATTTGTTTGAACCACTTTGAGAATCTCCAGGAGGGCAACGATTTCATTGGCAACGTCATTGGAAATGACTAGGGTATGTAGGGATTTGTTCGTGGTTGGCTCTTGAGGCTTCATTCCATGATGTTACAATAAAATAACCTTCCTCACTGAGAAACTTTCTGCAAGAAAAAAAATTCAATTGCATTTTGTTTTGATTAAATTTTTAAAAAAAGTTTAGTTGATTCATCCTTGGCTGTTTGCATTTTGGAATAGCGAACTCCAGTAGTTAAAATTTCTGACGATAATTTAGAGTTGTGCTTCTTCATTCTGGATGTGTGATATGTTCAAAAGCTAATTTTGATTTTACTAAATTTTGTAGGAGAAAATTTATATAGTGTTTGTTTTATTTATATATGTTATATATATTTATACAGTTGCCTGTAAAGAACTAGTGCTCGCTATGGGAAATAGAGATTCTATGCGAGCTGCTCTTGCTAGTGTTGTTGCTAATTCACACAGTGCCACTATTGCTGCGGTCAAAGAAGGTCTATTAGAAGAAATTGTTTATAGGCTGCGTGGGGTACAATTAAGACTATCTCTTGTTCCACGTAACTCAAAAAAGGTTAGTTTCACATTTCACATATCGAATTCCTTTTTACTGCGATATATTGAATACTTTTTTTAGGCTTCACTAGCACTGGAGGACCTTTGTGTCGAACTAGGCCTGATAACTAACTTCTTAGCAGGCTCAGAGCTGGCCAAGGAGCAGTGCGCCACGCTGGGGCTCGCGGATATTTTACATAAATTGTGGGTGTGGTGTCTCACCGACTACAGCCTATTGTCAGTTCTCCTCAGGACTCTTATCACTTTCACTTCTGATTCTGTTATAGGTAATAACTATTTATTATATATTATAGCTTTATATTATTGAAGTCGTAAACCAATGACTTCCTGTCCTTCAGTATCCTTTAACAACACCTCACTTATTCCTGTTGAACAAATCCATTACCTAGGATTCCACCTGGACAAACATCTAACTTGGAATCCTCATACCAGACTGAAACGACAAGAAACCACTCGACGTTTCAGACTACTTCAACACTTACTAGACAAACGCTCTAATCTTCCAATTAATTACAAAAGACTTATATACATGACTATAATAAGGCCTATTTGGACTTTCAGAGTTGAACTATGGGGCTCCACCAAACCTTCAAATTCCTCTCGTATCCAATCCTTACAATCCAAAATCCTCAATGCTCCTTACTTTGTTACAAATAAAACCATCCACAATGACCTTAATGTTCCTTATGTATCAGATTTGGCCCCATCTAGATATCTATCCTTCCATAATAAACTTCATAACCATCCCAACCCTCTCGTTTCTAACCTTGCTTCCTATTCAATTACTGATAACCCTCCGTCGCGTCTGGAAAGAAGATGGTCCCATGATCTCCTAATATAGACATATTATTAGAGTGCTTCCAATGGGTAGTTTCTCTACATGTGTTTCATGTCATTATATCCATGCACGAATTTACTAGATGTATTTTTTTTTATACAGTTGTAAATATCATATAAATAATAATAATTGAAAAGCTTCTCTTTCATGGTAATTTTTTATTTTTATTCTTTCAGTTTAACGTTTTGGGTTACTCACCCATCATCAAATACTGATAGTTGGTATTTCAACCATCTTAATATCTTACAAACATGTTAAAACATTTATCCTTTGTATATACAAAAGATAAATGTATGTATGTATGTATGCAAATAAGTTTAAATTAAAATACATTTCTTCCTAAGACCAATATATTCCATTGTCCCATTCTCTAGGAGCCTATCTTCACTATTTTCCATGGAGGGTCTTGGGTTCAGTATTATGTAAGGAATTATTGTTTCTTGATCAATGGTTGTGCAAAGAGGTAATTTGACTGAGATCATACTCAACCACCAAATTTTCCCCCTTAATTAATTATTTAATTAACAGTCCCAGGATTGATCCACTGCCGATGAAAGAGAATAAATAATGGTGTAGAGATGGTTGACTGTTGATATAATATGAGAAGGAGTTGATCAGGGGGTGTGGTCAAATTAATACTAAATTAAACAAATATAATTATTTAATTTTTGCCTATTAAATAATTATACTTGTTTAATTTAGTATTAATTTGACCGCCCCCCCCCCCCCCCGATCAACTCCTCAGAATAAATAATGAGTCAGTGCCCTACCTTGGAGTTCCCTCACTCCTCAGTCACACTAAATACAAATTTAATTATAATATAATTCAATATATGAGTGTAATATTGTAACTTTAATATATCTTTCAGCTGCAGGAAGCCTTGTTCTAACAAGTACGCTGGCTGGTGTCGGTCAACGGAAAACACCTACAAGTTCTTCTCTTTTGCATGCATTGCTGGTGCTTATCCAGAGGGACATTTATCCTTATGGAATCAAGCTGTTGCTTCTGCAGCTCCTGTCCCATGCTTGTCAGGCCAACGAGTGCAGGTCCATCATAACTAAATCGGGATTCCTGTCTGAATTCTTGGCCACCTACAGTCAGAAGAAGTCAGCCGCTGTAGATGAGGCAGAATATGGATGGTTACAATTTCTCGCCATCTTTTCCAGCTTTAGTGATGGCCAGTTGGCATTGATAAAGGTCAGTTTAGTGTAGTAAAATATGATCTATAAATGGAATTCTGAGAATGGCCGAGTGTATATGAAAATAGATGGAGGTGACCGAATAATCATGTAAGGCCCCGATTTCAACTGTAAAGGACCAATTAGATATTTGCTTTAGACTAATCACAATCTAAATAAAGGGAGGTTTTTCTTATTGACATGTCAATACGGGGCCACTCATGGAATTCCATTCATCATGTGATCTTGTGACCACCCGTCAAAGTGAAGCACCATTATCAGTTTCCAATTGTGTTATTATTTTAAATTACACGTTTTACAAGAGGTATTAATGTTTTTCACAAAGACAAATATAATTATTCACTTGTTGGCAGTATTATTTGCTGACAGTATAACTTTTAAAGGCTAATAAACAGTTTCTCAACTAACGTTCTGTACAAAAATCATTTTCACAATGAGTTAACTTCAAACTGAATTGAACCTAATATGAACTAACTGAACTCACTACAAACTCTCTTATTTTAGATGTAATAAAAAAAATTTTCACAATCGCAATACTTATTCTTACTATATATTACATATAATGAAGAGAAGAATAGTTGGAGTGATCAGTCAAATAAGAAGGCAAAATTAAATGATAATATTTATTTTGACATTTGCCGACATTTCGACCTGAAGTTCAGGCCATCATCAAGGCTAAGAAAAGAATCAGATAACAAGGTATGAGAAACATAAGTAGTGCAGGTAGAAAAAATTAAATAAAAATGCAGTTGTTAGAATAATGACAATAGTAAGAACTAAGAGATAAATGATAATAACCGGTACAAAGTGTGGAATGATGAAGTAAACATAATCAAAAAAGGTGACTTAAGTATTAAAATGGGAATCTTAGAATAAAATGTAAAACAGAAAAATATGAAGTTATATAAGAAATGGAAATAAATAGTAAAATTAAGATATTGCGAATAGAATAGTTATATGAAAGAAAATTATCATTTATTTTTGCCTTCTTATTTGACTGATCACCACTCTTCATTATTCACGACAGTCAACCATTTACCCACAATTATATTACATATATATGTATGTGTAAGTAATTAGTTTTGAAAAATATTAAAAGTATGTTATTAGTGTTAAGATTATATTCTTTTATAGACAAGTGTTTTATAATTTGCCTATTTATAACTTTTATAACTCTGTAAATTTATTTGACTTATATTGTGCAGTAATAAAGTGTAATTGTAAACTTATAGGACTCCAGTAAAAGTTAATACTTGTTTTCTTCTCTTTTTGAAGTATTATTAAATACTAAGGAAGGAGATAGTCCGGGGTGGGGCGGCAGTCATAGATAGACTAAATAGTGGCAAAACTATTTTATTAAAAGCCAACGTTTCGACCCGACTTCTTCAGGGCTAGAATGGACAAGATACAAAAAGATATGGAGAATTGTGGAAGTTATATCATATTTATATGAAAAATTATAAACAATGTGAATAAACTTATTAAAATTATAAACAGTAAGTACATTTAAATATAAGCAAAGTAAGCTAAGTAATAAGATCCTAAACTAAAGTAACATAGAAGTACAATAAAAATATATATTATGTTAAGTATATATATTAAATACATCTTTGCATGTTACTTCTTCCATTTTTGTTTTTATTCACATTTTACTCTTATCTATAATTTCTTAATTCTATTTTATATGTATATATATATATTTATAATTTATTATTTCATAGATATAGTATTTTTTTCCCTTGTATCCAGCCATGCCTTCAAATTCCGCAAATTCAGGTCAGCAAAATTCCCCAATACCTATCCTTACCCTTATTTTCCAGTTATAAGTGAAACTCCTAGCTAAACACACCTTTAAGTCTCTATTTTTATTCTTCTAATTTTATATACTTATTTATTTATTTTTGGTTTTCTTTTCTTTCTCCACATTCCTACATGTCTATTATTTCATATTATATCCTTTTTCAATCTTTCCCATAGATCTGTAGAAGTATATTCACATTTGCATATATTATATATTACACTGTAACAATTGTTACCATCTATTTACTTCAGTTAGGATCTTATTACTTAGCTTACTCTGTTTATATTTTAATGTACTTGCTGTTTATAATTTTTTAAACAATGTGAATAAACTTATTAAAATTATAAACATTAAGTACATTAAAATATAAGCAAAGTAAGTTAAGTAACAAGTTCCGAAGCTGAAGTAAATAGATGGAAACAATTGTTGTAGTATAATATAAAATATAATACATGCAGTTGTGAATATAGGCCTACAGATCTACAGGAGAGATTGGAAGAAAAGGAAGAAGGATATAATATAAAATAATGGACATAAAGGGATCTGGAGAAAGAAAAAATAAGAAGAAAAACAAAAAATAAATAAATAAAATTATAAGAATAAAAATAGAGACTTACAGGTGTGTTCAGCAAGGAGTTTCACTTAGAACTGGAAAACAAGGGTAAGTATTGGGGAAATTTGCTGATCTGGTTGAGGAATGGTGTGGGGATAAGTAGTAAAAGTAAAACAAAACCTGGAAAATTACGCTATCTAAAATTTGAAGAGATATCGACGGATACAAGGGAAAATACTATATCCATGAAATAATAAATTATAGATAAATACATATAAAATAAAATTAAGAAATTATAGATAACTTCCACAATTCTCTATATCTTTTTGTATCTTGTCCGTTCTAGTCCTGAGGAAGACCTGCAAAGTCGGGTCGAAACGTTGGCTTTTAATAAAATAATTTTGCCTATTTATGACTGCCATCCCGGACCATCTCCTTCCTTAATAATACAACGGTCAACTGTTAAATATTCAATATTATTAAATAACATAAATAAAACAGAAATTAATGCTTTATATAGAATGAAGAAGTATTACAGAAGGTTATAGATTACATGTCGGGATGTCGAGGATCTCGTCACAGACCTGTTGCCCTTTCCATTGTCAGGAATTTAGTCTTCAACCAGGCCAACAGGCACAGATTCATATTATCAGGTAAGAAATAAACTTAAAAAATAAATAAAATAAAATAAAAAATACTGCAAACCATTACAAAAAGTCCTTTTATTATTTATTATTTCCGAATAGTTATATAACAAAAATATCTGGTTGGCCTCCCTGTATGATTTTCTTTATTGATTGAACAAAAAGCACACTATAAAAATTCTTTCCTAAGATAGGTTCAATTAAGATTTTTTGTTATAAACCATAAGTCAGCTTTGCAGGAAATTACATAATCTTTAATCTCTTACACTGATGGGTCCACAACAGCGAAATTGACAGTACTATGTACTCTCTGTAGTATGTACTGTATATGTACTCTCAACAATATAAATTGAATAAATCATGTCCCATATTTACAGCTGAATTAACAGCTATCCTCAAAGCGCTCTAGTTAGACTTATATTATTGGGTTGGCAAATAAGTTTTTCAGGGTGAAATAAAACTCAGTTTACTATAGACATAAGATGTATTTTAATCTGCAATAAATTGGCCATTATTTAATATGACTTTTTCCCATCTTTTCATTAACTACATAATGCCATGTTCATAGAATGTCTGAAGTTTATTGTTTTTAATTCATGTTGTTTTTTATGTCCTCTTCCTTTTGGAATTTCTTTCCCTTCATGGAGTTCTCCAGAGAGCGGAATAAGTGGTAGTCACTTGTAGGTAGGTCTGGTGAATAGGGAGGGTAGGACAAAAGGTCCCATCCAAGGCTCAATAATTTATTGCGAGGGACCAATGAGGTTGTAGGGCCTAGCGCTTGTTGTCTTGGTGGAACACAACACCCTTCCGATCATTCATAACTCTTCAGGATATTATCCAAATTTGATGTTACCATATCCGTTAGAAAGCTGAATTATTGCTCTTCAAAGCCGTATAAATGATTCTTTGATTTAATGCCTACATAAGGAATAAATAAACAAAAACTCCTTATAGGTTTTTATTTTTTATCTCCATTTGTAGTTTGTTTGCGAAGGTCCTGTTGATGTCATTTTGTGTAGTTTATGTGTCCCTAAATTTCTTGTAAATAGCTAAAGTCGTATTGAAGTTGTAATATTTTTTGTGATTTTAAAAAAAAAATCATGTGAAGGACCCAAACATTAAGTCTGGAAACATAGCCAAGCTTTTTCAAATGGTTTTCTACGCTTGAGTGTGATACATTTAGGGCCATAGCAATCTCTTGCGCACTGATTGGGTGAGATTTTTATTAACAATGGATGTAACATTGCTCGTTTCAATTTCATGTGGGCGACAAGATCATTGAGCATCATTGATGTCAAAATTTTCTGAATGAAATTTTGCAAATCAATTTTGACAGGAGCTTTCGGTTTTCGTAGTGACATAAAAATAAACGGGACAACTGAAAGGACTTATTTGCCAATCCAATACTTTGTTATCTTTAAAAATGTTAACACTGTAGAAACTTGATCTTTACTATCTTGAAGAATTTCCCTTAGTGTTTTTCCTAGTTCTAATTTTTTTTCTGTTGTTTTCAAACCATGGGCATTCTTCTAATAAGTGTTTTACTGTTTGAAATATATTCCTGTATTTCTAAACAAGTGGGTGCTTCAAAACCTCTTAAAAGGTAGTCGTGTGTAAACTGACAGTGCCGAATCCTGAGGTTGGCACGGCACTACCTCTTCTCTCCTTGATCTTCCGGAGCTAATGAGCCATTAAGCACAACCAGATTTCACTTCTGTCAGTTTACGCTCTCTGTTCTTCCATTCCTTTACTCACTCTGCCGGAACTATTTTCTTTGACTGGTGAACCCAATATTCTAGAGTAACATCTTTCACTCTGGTAGCTACCGCTTCTTCTCCACTTCTTGCCAAATGGGCTGTAAGGTCGGTCAGCTTATTCGTTTCCCAAAATGCCACCGTGAGATGGTACCCGAATCAAGACTACTGAAATTCCTTTGTTTTTTACCTCCCACCATTTGTTTATTATTTTTCTTATTATAGAATGTCTTGAGTATAGGTTGTCGATGGCAGCTAACACACTCCACGAGTCAAATTGAAAATTTTGAATGATCTAGTATTTCATCATCCATCCTCTTGAACCGCATTAAGCAGTGTGAGGAGGAAGTCTATAGAGCCTTCTCCAGCTCTGCCGGTCTTTAACAAGACGCCTTCTATCGTTCCATTGAAGACCTCTTCTCTGGAAATCGCTCTTTACCTCATCTTTCCATTTCCTTCTAGGCCATCCTCTTCCTCTCTTGCCGTCTACTTTAGATCGATAGGTTTCGCTAGCTATTCTGTTTGGTTCCATCCGCAGAAGATGTCCTAGCCATCTCAGTCGATTCTCCTCAATCACATCATTGGCCGGGTTAATATTGAGGTTCGACCTAATGGTGGTGTTGCGTAATCTGTCTCTTCTCGTTTTCTCCTCAATCTTTCGGAGGAATCGCATTTCTGACGCTTCTATCCTTGATTGATGTTTCTTTGTCAGCGTCCATGATTCTAAAGAGTACGTTAAAATGGGAAGAAATGTCGATCTGAAAACAGCTACTTTTGTTTTCTTTTCCACCTCACGCCTGTTTAGAAAACCTTTCTTAACTGCTTCAAACATCCTGCTCGCAGCAGCGATTCGCTCAGTCACCTCTGAATCGATGTATCCATTTTCATTAAGGTGTGCGCCCAAGTATTTGAAGTTTTCTACCTGCTCGAGGATTTAGTCTTCGACTTCTCCTAGGCTTCTTCCCAACCCTTATTACTTTTATTTTTACAGGGTTGATAATCATATTAATCTTGATCTAGTATTTAACTTTTAAAAAAACTAAACTTAGGTAAGGGGGTTTCGATGGGAACATGTGGTGATGCTTTGAAGAGAATGTGTCAGTTCAAAACACCGTACCGCTGGTAATTCTTGTCTAATTTTGATATTTTTAGAGAAAACACCTTAAGTTAATAAGATATGGATATATGAAATGGTGGATGGTTATTTTGAGTTTTGAGGATCATTCTGGAGTGACTTGTGCCAAATTTCAAAAGAATCTCAGTTAATTCTTGTCTGATTTTCATAATTTTTTTCTTCTTGATCGATTACAAAGGTTCATTATTTGAAAATAATTAACCAAAATGCTGATAGAAATATTTGATTATTATCGTTGTTTGTTTTAGATAAGATGCTAAAGAGTATTGGAGACAGACTGAGTGACCGAGATGGCCTCAATCAAAATGAGGTGGAAGATGTTCTGCTGATCGGATGGGCACTAGCCGCTAACAGCCAGCGTGGAAAGGGATGCTTACGAGTAGCCGGCATCCTATCGAAGCTAGAGGCAGCTATCCAGCTATACCACCCCGCGCTTGTGGAGACCGAAATGGCTCGACTCGCATTTCAGGTCATCAATGGTCAGCCGTTACATTAATTGTGGATTTTATTTTATATAAAAAGTTTTTAAGTGCTTTCTGGTAAATAATATAATTTTTTACCTGACAGGTATTTTGTCTGGTCTCTAGATACTACTTGTACTTATTGTTAATATATGTATATAAAAATCAAGTGTACAGTGTTGATATTAAAAAGATTATTTATTTTTTGTTATAATGATTAAATTAAAAAATGTTAAATTAAACAAAGAAAAAAAAAAAGAAAGCATTTGTTTCTTTTATCATGACACTAAAAACATTTGAGTCAATACAGGCCATTTTCTACAATATAATACAGGCATGAACATATGCTTTTCAGACCTTTATGTAATGTACTGAGCTCTTAAGAGAACTTTGAAAGAACTCAAAATCAAAAAGTCAAGGTATGTCAATCAATTCTATAGTATGGGTTGGTTGGCACAGTTTAGGAACTCTCATAAAAGATTGAATAACAACTTCAAGTTTTTTTACTGGAAAATATTATAAAGGAACAACAATCATTCAATTTATGGTGTTAAAATTTAAACAATTTAATATCTGAGCTGAGTAGTTTTCCTTTAATAGGGAAGGGATACTTGTACTTTCACTTGCATTTATGCTTGTGTATAATAAGAGCTAGTTGTTTTATTGATTATTTCGTATTAAGTATAATCCTAATTATCTTTGTTGTATTATTACTTTTGTTATATTACTTTTATTTTATTTATTTATTTTCCACCCTCCCATGCCTCCAGGGCAATACCGGTGTATGCAGTAGTGTGATGTTAAGCATCATTGCATAATAACACACTACTGCCATTTTATCAGTTTACAAAATTCAAAGCTGTGCACTCAGCTAGCTCTTCTAATTTTCCTCATTCTTCAACAAAGTCTTTCTGGCACTGGTACTCCTCTCCTTCTGTGGGCACCTAGGTTAAAGTGAGCTGGACCCACCACCGTCTTCCAGCCATTTATGAAGTCTTCGAATCGCGGGAAGTAGCTTACATTACTTGTAACAGTAATTATACTATTCATAAAGTTCAATGTTGTCAAATTGTTGTTTCTTATCATTGCATACTAGTACAGACCCCTTTTTATCAAATTATTAACATCTGCCTAAAACTTCGTAGATAGCTTGATCTCATCGTAACCTACAAATATTTTATTTATGAAAATTCTCAGAATTGGGAAATTTTTAATCTGGAGATCGGAAAACTTTGTCTATTTAATTTGGCACTAAAACCTCATGAATACCCATTAGCTTTCCACTTGAATTGTAAGTTAATATGATGATAAAATTGAGGGAAAAAAAAGTAGCCTACAAAAATATTGGGCTGTTTGGCCTATATAACCTCGTTATTTTTATATTTTGGAGGTGGAGGTCACGGCAAATGACGTTTTTTGTAATCACATTATCTTATGATTCAATTGGAAATCAAATGGGTATTCATGAGTTTTTAGTACCAAATTAAATAGACAAAGTTTCCTGATCTATAGATTGAAACCGTCCCAATTCTGAGAATTTTTGAAAATACTATATTTGTAGGTTACGATGGGATGAAGTTATTCACAAATTTTTAGGCGGATGTTAATAATTTGATAATAAGGGGTCTGTACCACATACTATACAGCTTAGTTTTAGAGTTCAGTTTAATTGCACTTGTATTGTTGTGCAGCTGTTGACATGAAATTTTGAGATTTGTCTGTAACGAAAGAGCTTGCCTGTGCTTTTCTACAACATGGAACCCTTCTGAAAAGGCATTTATGCACACAAGGACACAAGACAAAGTTATATTTTGGACAGTGAATTCAATGGTGTTGTAATTAAAGTTTTTACCATTCAAAAGTAAATTTGCTCGTCAGGAATTGGTTTGAAAATTCTCGTATACTATTAGTAACATAGACTCTGTGAAACTTACATATACATGCAAACGATTGAAAGAATGTGGGGCTGCGTCTTGTGAAATAACAAATTGCACAGAGATATAGCAAAGTATCACTTGAACTCTTACCTAGCTGAATTTTTGTGGTGCCAACAAATCATCAAGGATGGTTTCGAAGAAATATTATACAGAATTAAAGAATACTAGCCTCCATAAATCAACTATTAACGTTGAGTACAAACCAATGTTAATATATCAATTAATTAGTAAGGTAACACCACTTAACATGTGAAAGGAAACGTGGCTCCTGTTAAAGGTAAACTCCAACATCTGAACTTTCTTTTTTTTTATTTTAAGTTTCCACTATTTTTCTAATTTTTTTTCTCTTGTTTACTAAAATATCACATTAATATTTAAATTTGTCATAAATCAATTTAATAAGTAAAAATTACATGTTTGCCAACCATCCCTTATTAAATTTTCAAAACAACAATGGTTGCCAAAGTTCAGAAAAGCCGAAATCAAAGAGTTTTACACTGCAATAATTAGAAGAAATATGACAGTAATGTATGACAAAGAAAGAAAGAGTTGTTTGACTTGCTAACTCTGCAGATTAATAAAGAAGTATCTTTTTTTTAAAAGAAACTTTCATTAGACTGACCGGCCACCAAAAGCGCAGCTAAGCGGTGTAGCAAGGGTTGCCTTTGAGTTGACCGGGGTTCGGTTTTGGAAGCTGACTCCGCTATCCTCAGCTTCTCCCACCACTGTCACACAACCGTGGAGCCTTGTTCTTTAGTGTCATCCTTTTTTTTTCCACTTGTTTTCAAAACCTCTCAAATTATTTTATTTTGGTTCAGTGTAAAATATGCCATGGATGTGGAAGAATTTTTAATCAAATGTGTCCAGGAAAATATTCGATTTAAACACAAATTCGAAAATATACGCAAATATTTGATTTTTCTTTTCAACTCCAACATGATCAACTTTGCGACTTTTTAAGAATGTTATATATGCTGTATATATATTTTTTAAATGTTATCCGCTTGTTTTCACTGCACAATCTCTCAAATTTTTTATTTTGGTTCAGTATAAAATATGCGAAGGATACCGATGCAAGAGAAGTTCTTGTTTGAGCTGAGCTACGCAATCGGTTGCCGACCCTCTCTTGCTACGCTTAGCTCAGCTGCGCTTTTGGCGGCCAGTTAGCCTTACTCTTTCATCAATAGATCAAACAACATAATCTGTACAGTGGGATTTAATGTGAAAATAAGGGGCTCTAGAGCCCATGATGATGAGAATAAAAAGCAATCGGCCAACCTACCCATGTTCTCCTCTACTCATAATTTACAATTTAGAAAAGTAAATTACTAAAATAATGACAGCTACTTTAAATTTATTCCATATCTATAGATCATATGGATAAAATGTATTTTATAATTTTTGGATACATTAATCAAAATGTTTTGTTATAACTATTCGTGAACGATGCTTATTACAATGCACTTTGTGATGAATGTGTTTGTTCTGACTTGTCCTTATCTTTGGGTATTGGATTATATTGTCAGTCGATCTGCGGTAGTCTTTGAGGAGCATTTCAGGCCTATCGTCATCTACAATTTCTTCTTCACTTCCTTCTCCTTCTTCTTCCTGGACAGGATTAAAGATGTGATGGCGTAATAATAACAGAAATATTATAAAACATTTGTTTCACACTTTAAACAGTGCATTAATTAATTATTTATCTAGGATTTAAAAAGAAAAGATTGCATTGAAAATTAGTATTGTTTCGATGATTCGAAATATAATCAATTTTAAGTCTATTTCTTAGTTTTTAAATATAAATAAGTAAATGTCCAGTTCTTACTTTTACCTTTATTTCAAGGATTAAATAGTCATTTATATAGCTAAAAGTTCTTTGAAATATGGAGCATAATGAATCTGATTTTTCGGATTTGATGTTGATTAAGCTACATGAATGTAAATTTAATATTATTAATAAGTAGAGATCACGGTGAGTGGTAACTAATTTCAATATTTTTTTTTTTGTATAAGGAATAAAAAAAATAAACCTGAAAATTTTTGGTTTACGCCACTGACAAGTTAAAAACAAAAGTGTAGAATTGAATACTTGATGGTTGACTGTGGTATATTATTGAGTAAGAAGATGGTCCTTAATATGGTGGCGGTCATAAAAAGATTAAGGTCAGACTGAAGGCGGGAAATACTTGTTATTTTTCTGTGACAAAACTACTTAGCTCGCGCCTCTTGTCCCCCAACTTAAAATTAGAATCTATAAAACCATTGTCTTACCTACTGTTCTTTATGGTTGCAAAACGTGGCAAATTAAGGGATGAGCAATGTGTTAAGGTTTTTGAAAATAAAGTATTGCGTAGAATATTCGGACAGAAGAAGGATGAATTAACCGGAGAGTTAAGACGGTTACACAACGCCGAATTGCTCGAACTATATCCGAGTAATATAATTAAGGTGATTTCATCCTGACGAATCAAATGGGCTTTTAAAATTGTTGGGCTTAGTAACGAGAGAATTCCTAAAAAGTTAATATTTGCTGTACCGAATGGTAAACGTCCAAGGGGTATACCGAAGCGAAGGTGGGAAGATTACATTAAAGCTGATCTGAAGGGACTGGGTTTGGACGGCGAATGGTGGAGGGAGGTGTGTAATAAGCGATTGGTGGTGTCGCCATCGAACCTTCGGATTCGCTAAGCCTTTTTATTATTATTATTATTATAATCATGTTAGGATTACTCATCATTGAAAGTGGTAATACAATTTTTTTTTACTAAGATTTTTATTATAGGAATTGAACCGTATTCACAAGTGACCTACTAAATGTTTTTAATGTTTACGGAACTTAGCTTAATTTTGCCGCCCAAAAGTCCTCATTAAATAGTTTTAACAATGACAAACTCTATTTTCATTAAAAATAAATTTGTGTAGTTTATTGTGAAACAAATGATAATTAATTGAATTACGTGTTTTTTTAGTTAATGCTTCCTATTCAACAAAAGATCCTGATCAGACCAAAAAAATACAAAACTTAAATTTCCTACTTTTCTGCTAGAAATTTGGCCATTCTTAATATGAACTTTTTCGTAGCTCTTGATGTCCACTATAAAGCTATTAAAAATTTCTGTTTCCTTATGGGACACCCTGTATAGTCTCGATATAGGTGTAATAAGCGTTAAACTTAAGCTAAGTGTCCCTAGGTAAGCTAAAGTATTCATTAGATTATTACTAAATTAATCTTAAAGCCATTTTTTTTTTTAATAAAAAAAAAGCTCCCTTTCTCAAAATTAAATCCGCTACTAAATTTATCTATATTATTTTATGGTTTTCTTATGAACGTTAGTGTCTGTGCTGTAGCCCTGATGAAACCGTATTAAGTGTGTCAAAACAGCAATATATGTAAAACGATAAATAGTTTATTTATTACTTCGACCAATAATTGACAAATAATCATAATTTTTGTCTTCTATTTTTAAGACTACATTGAATTAAATTACATCTAAATTAATTCAAAGTAGTACCTCATCGTCACTTTTCCTAGGCGAAGAATTTGACGAGTCATCTGAACTACAACATTATAAAACAATTAATTCCTTCTCTGAAAGCAATTAGTAATTCGATAAATTTAAAACTGATGACATGTCTTCATCTAATGGAGAAGAAGTGATTATTACACTTTGAAATTATGATAATTTTATTTTAATTTATGTCGATTGTGTACCATAACGTGAACTTAAAGACTGTCATAAAGAAATAAAGGAAATAACATATTTTATTAGGGTTCAATTTAAGAAAGTTAAAATTTCAGTTTATGAACGATTTTCACTTATCCAGTTAAAATATCCATTTTCATAGAAGAAAGGAGCTTTGATTTAAACTATTTTCAAAGTAATGAGAAGATTATTAATTAATGAGCAGCTCACTTACCCACAATGTTTTTGTATGCATTCTAATATTATTAATTTGGCATTTTAAAAAAGTTTTGAATAAAACAAATGGATACTTCGAACTTTTAATAGTTCAACCTTCAGTATCCCGGGGTTTTTAATATAATTTTTTTTTTTTTTTAATGAAATTTACAACTGTATTACATGGAAAATACAAGTAAATGTGACATTGGTAACATGACATGTACAACATGAAGAGAAACTACCCATTGGTAGAACTCAAATTAAAGTTCTATATTAGAAGATCCCGAGGCCATCTTCTTTTCAGACACCTCAGAGGGTTATCAGGGATCGAGGAGGAAGCAAGGTTTGAAAAGAGAGGATTCAGATGGTTCTGCAGTTTGTCATGGAAGGATAGGTATCTGGATTAAGCTAAATCGGAAACATATGGAACATTAAGGTCTTTATGGATGATTTTATTTGTGACAAAGTAGGGAGCGTTGAGGATTTTACGAAGGATTTTGGATTGTAAGGATTGGATACTAGAGGAATTCGATGGTTTAGTGGAGCCCCCAAAACTCAAATCCATAAGTCCATATAGATCTTATTATTGTCATATATATGAGTCGTTTGTAATTGATTGAAAGCTTAGAGCGTTTGTCTAGTAAGTGCTGCAGTAGTCGAAAACGTCGGGCGGTTTCTAGTCGTTTCAGTCTGGTATAAGGGTTCCAAGTGAGTCGTTTATCCAGGTGGAGTCCTAGGTATCGGATTTGTTCAACAGGGATAAGAGGGCTGTTGTTGAAGGATACTGTAGGAGTGGAAGTCATAGTTTTACGACGAAGAGTGAAGGTAATTTGATGAGATTTATTAGAATTTATTTTATTCCTCCAGTTTTGACACCATTTTTCAAGACTTGTGATGTGTGATTGAAGAGTTTGGGATGCAATAGATGGATCGTTATTAACTGATAGGATACATGTGTCATCACATAGGTGATGATGACAGTGTTGAATTGGGTTGGGATGTCAGCTGTATAAACTGTGTGCAGGATAGGACCTAGGATACTACCTTGAGGAACACCGGCAGACTGAGTAAAAAGAGATGAATAAGCATTGCTATGATTGACTTTTAAGTATCTGTCAGTAAGGTAGGTTTTATATAATTTAAAATGGAAATAGAAATAGCTTGAAATGAACCAAACTTCTTAATGTTTTATTTTAATCAGTTTTGATGACTGGAATCTTTATTTTCCCCTGGATTGATCCTGAGCGAAGACGCCATTAAGTTCGATGTCAAGACACACGGGCTAGGATCACTACCGGAATGACTACGATAGAGGGCAGAAGAAAGGCCAGGGAATTGGAATGGAAGACGTTGTTAAGGGAGGATTCACTCGTGGAGTGGAACAGGCTTTACGACAACGGAGAAGGGATCAACCCTCAGGAAATTCTCTCACACCATTTATTCAAGATTAGAAGTGAGGTGGGTACAACCTAACTACTGGTCTCCTCAAATCCTTACGGGACATGGAGGGTTTAGAGATAAATTGAATAAGCATGGAAAGAATATTGACTCTCGGTGGCTCATATGCAGGGTTTCTGACACAATGGAACACGCCGTGCTGGCATGCACAAAAATGGACCAACACCGAGCCTGGCTGTCCAAGAAAATTGGGTTATACAATCTTGGAGAAGATCTCCCAGGACTAATGGCAGAGGATAACTACCCTAACTTAGCGGAGTACATGAGGAAGTGCCCTGCGCACTTCAACTTGGGGAGAGAGTGCCTGGCAGAGGAAGGGGAAGAACTGGCACTCCAAAAACCAACGAACCCAGAGGAATAAAGAAAAAGGTAGAGAAGAAAAAAGAAAGAAAAAATATATAAATAAATAAAATAAAAAAGAAGGAAAAGATGTATCCTCATCAGAAGGCTATGCCACAGAATCCCTGTTTTTGTTGTTCCTAAATATATAAACTAAACATATCCTAAAATATACCTATATATTTAACTATTCAACGAAATAAAGAGAATTGTATTGGTGGCAGTGGCATGCGTAGATCCCAAGTGCACTGCTGCTGAAAAACCCGTATTTAGGTATCTAGGTAGGGTGCAAAAAAAAAAAAATGGAATCTTTATTTTAAATGTTATTTTGGAACTAGAACCTTTCCTCTTGCGACTTTTCAAGTAAAGGTTTTACAAAACTTTCTTTTAAAAGTTTTGTTTAAGCAATTCAGTTCGCTAAGTCCATCTAAAAGATCACTTTTATTCTTAGCTGCTCAAACAAACAACTCAGGAATCAAGTAATTCTTTTTAAATTACAACTGTAATCTAGGCCCCATTAATGTTGGTTTGAAATCTACAAAAATTTTAAGAAAGAGAGACAAAATAAATTCAAAACAGCCCCAAAGAAAAACTTGTCTTAAACTTTTTTAACCATAGGTTTGAACATACCATTAAATAGGCAATAACTGGTCAAAAAATTATAAACATAAATAATTTTGAGCAACATACATGGTCTAGATAATTTCAAATGGATCAATCCGTAAATTAAAATATCTAAAAAAAAACTGCTAAAATTGATATCATTCTAGAGGTGAGGAAATGAAAACAGCAGTTTTTGAAGAAAAAAGAAAGAAGGAAATATCAATTATACACAAATGGAATTTGTAAGGTACAGATCTATAGCTGTCTCTAGAATGAAGATTCTACACCACAAAGAAAAAAAAAATATATATTCTGACATACTGGGGAAGGTGGCGGGAGTTCAGAGGTACTACCAAAACTATTCTATTCGTCGTAGTTAGGTTGAGATGCATTGGGTGGGTCTACCTCAATATAAATATTAACTCATCTAGGTCGGATTTAAACTGATGCCACTGGCCTCTAGAATGTTAAAGCATGCAATGCCATCCATGCCTTCCTTATAGTCCGTGGTATAGGGCCCTTTTTATCAAATTATTAATATCCTCCTGAAACTTCATTAATAGCTTCATCTCATCGTAACCTACAACTATCTGCTACGTATCAAAATGGTTTTTGATAGATTTTTATATCACGGGATGCCACTGGTAATTATTGAAGATAATTATCCAGAATTAGTTAATAAAAATATTAGCTAAACAAATTATGTCATTTGACATATTGGTCCTTGATTAATTTATTGGATTACTTCTCACAAAGGCTTGTTGTGTGTTTATCTGTTCACTAATTACCAAACATTACCTGTGCTTATAATGAAAGAAATAGGTGGCATGATTAAAATAACTTTTATGTACAAATTATATTTATTTACAAGTGATGAGAAAGAATGTTACATACATTATATTTACAAAAATTAATGAACTATACAATTGGTTGTGAAGGCATGATTCAGATGGATGGAATTTAAAATTACATTGCCATTAAATATTTATACATCTTTAAAAAGGAATTGTTGGGGATTACTTATCTAATAAGTCGAGATCATCTGGACATGGATCAAGTAGGGCAAAGGCTTCAGTCTCCAAGTTGGAAGAAAACATTAGGGACCTCCTCAGTGCCGGGCAGTCCATCAGGCCTCTCTTCTATCAGCCTCTCCTCAGCTGAGTCCCATAAAGAAGTGTCTTCTCCGCCGAGCCCCAAGAAGAAATGTCTTCAGCTGCGTTCCAAGAAGAAGTGTCCTCCCTTTTTTTCTCTATCCCCCTCAGTAGATCTTGTTTTCCATATCTAGGGTGGGGCAAGCATGGTTACTATTGGTTGGAGTTGTGTAGCAGAAGGGATGACCACACCCCCAATGTTATGTTGAACACACCCCTTTTAGCAGGTACACGACCGTTTCTTCCTTTGCTTAGGCTTCAAAGCTTTTTTTGTCCTCTTTAAACACAAGACTGGTCCTTTGCTGTTTTTGACCGCCGTTGGCCTCAAGTGTTTTAGTCCCTGCTCAAAGGTTTCTGGGTCTCAGGTATCCGTACCACTATCTAGGTAACCACTTTCCCACGTAATTATGACGGTTCTTGGGTGTCGATCCTTTGGGGTTCCTACTTGTTTTCTTGCCACTTACAAAAGGTTGGGTCGGGGGTTTCAGGTACCCGCCCAGGTGTTAGATATTATGTTTAAATATTATTAATTATCATTAGGCTATGTTCAATACATAGCATATCTAACTCGTAAATACTCATTTGTTTTCCACTTTAATCGTTTGATAATTGGGCACAATATCGAGAAAAAGGGTGACCTTCAAAAATATTGTTTTCTTTTTTCCCCTCAATTTTGTGATCAAATTAACTTACAATCCAAGTAGAAAGCAAATGGGTATTTACAAGTTTTTAGTACCTAATTAAACTGACAAAGTTTGCCAATCTGCAGATTTAAAACAACCGATTTCTAAGAGTTCTCGTAAATAAAATAGTTGTATGTCAGGATGAGATGAAGCTATTCATGAAGTTTTATGCAGATATTAAAAATTTGATAAAAAGGGGTCTACCACAGAATATTAATTTAGATACAACATCAATGATCATCTTTTAGTCAGCATTTGATATTTTTATGTCCTTTCTAAAACTCAAATTACTACCAAATGAGGGAATAGAACAAAACTCCAAGACACTTTAATATCCTATCTACCATTAAACAATATCTGTATAATTTTTTATTGAACATTTTTTGGAATCTTCCAACCTTACCTTATCGACCTTGAAAATGCTGAAACAAAATAATCCATTGTGCTTGAGTAAATTTTTTAATTTTCAGAAACCAATAATAGCCAACTCATACTGTTTAAATCAAGCGAGGAAAGAGTAACGTTTTTTCCATCACTTATGTAATTTTCAAGAAATAGGCAATGAATATGATTAGTACAAAACATAAAATGTCCTTTAATAATTTTTTGGCCTGAAGGTAAATTACACATTCATTACTATTCAACTTCAATTACCCTTTGAATCATACAACCTAACAAAACAAACGTCACAACTAGGATATCAGGAATTGAGTAATAAGGAAAATCAATAGCAATATTGGTGAAAACGGAGGAATATATAAGGGACATCTATCAACCAAGGACAACTCATAGTATTTTTATTAAAACATTCAATTCTGATATAATGTACAAATATAACTTGAATATTATTACCTAATAATTTCCATTCACTTCTTAAAATAAAAAAATAAATACTCTTCTGTCTTTTTAAAAAGATAAAGTAAAGAATAAAATGACTTTACAATAACACTATATACAAGATACAAGACATAGATGTTTCCTTAAGAGTTATCTCCTTCTATACCTGTCGCTGACGTTCTTCGAAGAGCTGCCCTCTGAGTCACTTCTTCTGCTCCTCTTCTTCTTATGATGGTTCCTTTGTTTCCTGTCTTCATCGCTGCTTTCATCATCACTGTCTGAACTATCAGATTCTTTTTCAACGACTACTCTTTTCCTCTTTTTACTTTTCTTTTTGATTTCTTTAGATTTTTCTTTACTCTTTCTCTTATCATCTTCGCTATCTGAATCATCACTGTCATCCCTCTTCCTTGAGGACTTTTTCTTATCTTTAGAAGTTTTATTTTTTAAATCCTTTTCTTTCTTGCTTTTCTTTTTTTTCCTCTGTATTTCCTCTTCATCAGAATCTTCACTATCTTCGCTGTCTTCATCATGCTTTTTTGATTTTTTTACTTTCTTCTCTCTTTTTTTACTTTTATCCCTAATTTTACTTTTTTTTGTTTTGTTTTTCTTCTTCTTTGACTTCCTATCAGTATCACTCTCACTCTCTGAATCTGTGGATAAATCTCTCTTTTTGACTCCGTTCGCTTCAAGTTTTTCCAATTTCCTATAAAAATTTTGTTATTAAAATATATATAAACACTGATAATAAGTGAGTAAAATATGTAATCACAAACTTTTCAATTAATTCACCATAATACTTACTTTAATAATTTCAGTTTTTCTTTAGTAGAGAGACCTTTAAGAAAATCGAGTTCTGTCTCATCAACGACATCTTCTTCATCACCCTTATTTACCATTCCCTAAACATAAAAATCAAATAACACAATTTTTATTATTAAATTAAAAAATAAAATAAAAAATAGGTTTTGATATAGAGAAAAATATAAGAAAACTAGGTAAATTGTAAAACTATCTATTTCTAGATTATGAAGAGAAGAATAGTTGGGGTGGTCAGTCAAAAAGGAAGGAGACAGCCCTGATGAAGGCCTGAACTTCAGGTCGAAATATGTAAAAATGAATATTATCATTTATTTTTGCCTTCCTTTTTGACTGACCACCCCAACTATTCTTCTCTTCATTATCCGCGACAGTCAACCAATTATCAATTATATTTCTAGATTAATACAGCAGGCGCAATCATCTAAGCATTTTTTTGATTTTGAAAATAATTTTACTACATTATATCAATATATTGTTAATAGTAATAATTTTAAAGGTATTGAAATCCCGAAAAATCTCAAATTAACATGTTAGCTGCGGTTAGGATCAGCAGCGATTTATATAGTTTTATATCAGATATAATGATTATCATTCTTTACACATCTATCCAACTCCCATTGAAATATTTTTAAAATGACCATTTTAGAGACTTCATAAGATAGGCAAAATTCTAAACAATCCCGCCGAAGTCGAAAAGAATATGGGAACCTGGGTACCGTTACCACAGCTAACATCTTAAGGGTAATGCTATGATAAATCTAGTTCTCATATACAGCTCCAAAACCTGGACCCTAACCTGCACTCAAGAAAGAAGTATTAAAAGATTGGAGAGAAAAATCTTCTATATAATATCGAGAGATCTGAGATTAGAATACTAATACATGGAGAAGAAAGACCAATATAGATCTGCTTACGGAAACCAGTCAATTAACATTATATGATATGCAGATGATATTTAGCTCAGATCAATCCATCTGGAAGCCTCTACACAACAATGAATGCCTCAATAGCAGGCTAAAGACCATGTGAAAGGCCAAAAATCAGATGGATAGATCGAATCAACAAAGATACAAGAGAGCTGCATGCAGATAAGAAATAGCTCAAGAAAGGCAGAGATGGAGAATGCCAACAGAACAAAAAAAAGAACTAATAATTTTAAATAACATTAGGGATAGAAAAACAAAATATAGTAAATATCTGTAACTAATTACTTTAGAGAGAGATTTTTATTAAAGTTTTTTTTTAGATTAGAAGAGTTATAGTCACAATTTACAGTCAAAATTTGTTTAATCTAGTTGCCAATATTTCAACCCTAGCATGTGGATAGTCATCAGGCCAAAGATTTCTATTTACTGCAGCATTCAGAACTGAGTGGAATGGAGTCCACACTCGACATCGATTTTCTGATCAGTTTTTGACACAGGATATGGTTGATTCAATGGGGTGAAACATTGGCAACTAGAATAAAAAAGTAATAATTGAAAATTCTGGCTTACATCTTCCCATATAATTTTAAAAATTTAGCTAGTTAAGAGATGGGTAATTAGTAGATTGATCAATTATTAGGTTAGCGTTTCAACACGTTTGGGTCAAAACGACGACTAACCTAATAAAAATTCATGACTGTAAAGCCTGAAAAATTTGTTTCATAACTAATTAAGTTAAAAACAGTGAGTCTACTTAAAGAAAATGAGTTTTTATTTGGTAACACAAGAGTTTTTTTTTTTAGTTTTTTATAAAAGCTATTAGGAATAAAAGTAGTATTGAACTGACCTTGTACCTCGGAATTTCAACATGCTGTTGAGCTTCAAGTGCTGTCTTACGCATCCTTAGACCGTCCTCACGCATTCCACGCAACAAAGATACAGCATCACCCCCAGGTTCCGCAGAAGTTCCTATTTCGCTTGTAACACTCTGATTGTACAATGGGCATTCTTTATCTACAACAGCCACAGAGGATCATTTAATTATATAAAACAACAAAAATATAACATGGAAAATATATTAATTATATTCTTTAAAATATAAATTCACATGTTCCATGTTATTTTGTTAAAAATAACACATGAATAGAATTGATAGTTGTATTGTTAGAAATTTCAGTTCTAAATAGCAGTAAAACGATTCTTTGTTATACAGCAAACTTCAAACTAAATTCTAACAATTAAACTTTTGAACATTTTGAGGTTTATAAAATCAAAACAATAACTGAAAAACATGATAAAACTGCAAGTTAAAGGAATGAATTTTAAATTTATATTTTTTTTCCCTTCAAATTTAATAAAAATTAAGAAAATAATTTGTATAAAATGGAAACATTATGGAGGACAGAAAAATTAAATTAAGTACAAAACAAAAATGACAATGTTTCACAAGCTGAATATGTTTTCGTAATAAATGAATGTTCCATGAATTTCTACTTCAAAACTTTCATGGAACATAAGATTTTTGTGATTAAGGATAGTAAAAACCAAATTAAATGATAGTGGAATTATTTTGATAATACTCAGTAATGTCTAAAAAAAAAACATTAGATAAGATCAAAGACTAAAATAGACACTACTGTACAAGCCTTGCTCCACTTTGATTAGTGATACAAGATCTTATGATCACACTATAAATGGAACCGCTCGGGAGTGTATGGAAAGTAGATAGAAGTAACCAACTGTTTGGTTGAGGCGCAATAATAAAAACGAGATGGCAAGAGGGAAATTAAACATAGATTGATTTCTCGCCTGATTTACCGAAGTAAATTAAGACAGTCATAGTGCTCATTATTTGTTTTAATAAGAAAAAAATAACTCCTTCAGCACAATTATAATAGCTAAGTATACATAGTATCAAAGGTGGATCTACAGGGGAGCTTTCTGGCTGAAGCCCCTCCAAAATGGTAAAATATAATCATGTTTTCTAAAAAAAAATATTAAAAACTTTAAAGTATTATTGTTCGTGTAATCACAATTAATAGAACTTCAAGAATCAATTAAACACTATCTCACTTAGGTAGTTAATTTCTTTCCATTTTTCTTTCAAATTAATTATCGTGATATGTATGAAAAAAAAATTAAAAACTATGTCTTAAAGTATTATTGTTCATGTAATTACAATTAATAGAACTTCAAGAATCAATTAAACACTATTCCATAAAGGTAGTTAATTTCTTTCCTTTTTTTTTCAAATTAATTATCGTTATATATTTGAAAAAAAAAGCTTTCGGGCTGAAGCCCTCCCCCTCCCAAAATAGTAAAATATAATCATGTTTTATAGAAAAATATATTAAAAACTACCTCTTAAAGTATTATTGTTCATGTAATTACAATTAATAGAACTTCAAGAATCAATTAAACACTATTTCATATAGGTAGTTAATTTCTTTCCTTTCTTTTTTTATTAAATATCGTTTTATATATATATTTTACAACTTTTCTTTGATCGACCTTTGAGTATTAAATTTAAACATAACCATTTCAATTGGGAATAAGGTCATCTATTAATTAACCAGCTGTGCTGGTGGATGGTGCTGAGACTGTCGGTGTGTCCCTGGCCTGAGGTATCGAAGCTCTATTTTTTGAAAAATTTGAAGAGGATCCCATGGTCAACTTACAAAAAGAAAAATACGGGGATCGAAACATCAATAAACACAGATGAAATGAACATTTTGTAGTTTATTAAATAATTAATAGGTGACCTTATTCCCAATTAAAATGGTTATGTTTAATATATTATATATATATATATATATATATTATATATATATATATATATATATATATATATATATTTGAAAAAAAAAAAGCTTTCGGGCTGAAGCCCCTTCCCCACATGCACAGTATACATGGCTATTAAGCTAAAATTCACAAACACAAATTGAATATTATGAAAATGTTAAAAGTTTTAAGTAACACTATAAAATAAACTGAATATAGCACAAGACTTATACTCGTTTAAAAATATAAACAAGTAAGTGATGTATAATAATTAAGAAAGAAGAGACCGGTTGATGGTTAAAATCAGATTTATTGGCTGGCAACAGAAGTGTTCATCTTCGGCAAAAGAACAGATTCAAGGTTGATGTTTGTCCGCCAGCCAGGTCAATCCTTCAACGATACCTTCTCCTGTGGCAGCACAAGATGGCTGAATGTGCCAGGCATGGTTCCTGACATGGTCCAGCCCGAACCTCTCCCGGATCTGTTCCACACTGAGAGCTCCTGGGAGGTCCTGCTTATTGGCAAAGACGAGGACTAGGGCATCGCTCAGCTCGCTGTCGTTCAAGACCCGGTGGAATTCCTCGTTGGCTTCGTCCAGCCTGTCACAGTCTGCGCAGTCGACGACGAAGATGAAGGCTTGAGTTCCGGTGAAGTAATGGCGCCAGAGAGGACGGATCTTGCCCTGGCCTCCAATGTCCCAGACGTTGAAGTTGACGTTTCGATATCTGATGGTTTCCACGTTGAAGCCGACCGTCGGTATGGTGGACAGCGGCTCTCCAGGTCGGTGCAACTTCTGGAGGATAGTGGTCTTCCCGGCAGAGTCCAAGCCCAGCATGAGGATACGCATCCTCTTCTTACCGAAAACTTTCGACAAGATTTTGCCCATCGTTATCGATCTAGGCTACGAAAGACGCAAATTCAAGTTCAGCGTGGAGGATGACATAAAGGATTCAAATTGTGGGTGTCCAGCACATCCATCCCAGGATCGTCTTTAGCCTATTCCTTCCTAAGATCACTATCACAAGCCACTTCTTTAACCTACTCCTTCCTAAGATCACTATCACAAGCCACTTCTTTAACCTACTCCTTCCTAAGATCACTATCACTAACCAGAGGCAAATAATCAATAGATCATATGATTCTACTGATTCACCATGGAAACCAAGTATAGAAGAATTTTCTCACTGGTTTATTACTCAGTCACTAACAGTGTTACCGTTTGTACGAGGTTATGACGTAATGTACGAAGACCACCCAGCCTCGTATATCGTACATAATTTTTGCTGGCGTATGCAAGGTTATATTTTTATGAATGAAGATTAGAATTGTTTTACAATTATTTTTACTGTATTATTATTACTTTCCTAACTGTACTAGGTAAGGAAAGTATTGCAATCGGATCAAATTTCCGACATGTGGTTTTCGACGGATCTATACGTTTCACAGCCTACTGAGTCCGAAAAACACATTTTTAGCCATTGGTCTATCTGTCTGTCTGTGCCAAGATTTTCTCTGGAACTACAGAACTGATTTTGTTGCTTCTTTTTTTATTTTGTAGAATTTTGACTACTGATGGCTGTGACAGAAATTCGGTGCTCCAAGCGCAATAAATGAAAAAATGTTTTTCTATCGACTGTAGTGCAAAAACGGCTCTAACGATTTTGATAAAACATTCCTATAATGCTCTAATCATTGTTCTTTCAATTTTCTTATATAGACTAAATTCTCCAAAAAATTCAGGAAAAAAAGTTATAAAGAAAAGAAAAATGTTATGAGGCCTAACTCCCTAAGTATATATTATACGGTAAAATTTATAATAAAACTCCTGAGTTCGAAAAACACGCCGTTTAGCCTGTCGTTTGAAAGTTAATGCAATTCTCTACAAACCCATATAAAAATCGTTCATTTTGGACAACTATTAACGAAGTTACAGCTCTTCAATTTCCAATGTAAGATAACGGGTTCATATCCTGGTGTCAGAAAGGGGAGAATGAGAGAAAAAAGATGACTATGTGAAAGTAAGAAAATCTCTTGCCCGCAGCACACAATCTTCACTATTTCCTCTACTTTTAACAGAAATTATTGTTTGACAATACTAAGCTATGCCAAAAGGTTTGTGATCAGCGATATTAGGAAGTATTGAAATTTTTACACTGATCTACCTTAAGCCGGTTTACATTGCTTTAGTTTATCAAATAAATCGTACTCAAATCTTATTTTTGATCAATTTTCGGGAAAATGTATCTAGTTCAATTCTTTTTTGTTTCTTCATGAAAATATGTAAAGATATAAAAACTTTTCTGAAATAGGTAGGAACTACATTATTAAGTATATCAAAACTAACAGACTGTATCTTTGTTAATAACTGTCCGATTTTTAGTTTTTGTTTTGTAGGTAATTTAGTAATCTTTCTAATTATCATGTGTAAGATCGAGAAAGAAAATGCATATTTTTTGAGTTAATCACAAATAAAGTTTCTTTTCCTTCATAACTTTTCCCCCTTAAATTTCGGAGGGATAGAAGTATTTTTCGCATCTGAAGGAGAAAAATATCTTCAAAACGAGTGGTTAATAATTGGATTTGATGAAGAATTTACGAAGTTATGGCGTACCGACAAAAAAACACCTTTTAGAAATAATATATAGGATAACAAAGGCTTAGCTATACCGAAAGTTCGATGCACTTGCTAACAATCTCTGTCGTCTACATACTTGCATCGACTGACCACTGTCCAAACCTGCAATCCTCCCATCTACCTCTAGGAAGCTCACCAATGGGATTCCGTGCACATTAACCTTTAATTGGTGGATTGAATTGCCGCAAATCTATCATATTAATTAAATCTATTGGGTAAAAATCACGTAATTCTGAATTTTATAAGAGTCTAAATTCAGTGGTTAACTTGTACTTCTTCGGTCCTTATTTAAAGCAATACTTAATTTTTAAAAATTCCTAAGGCATTGTTTTGTGAAGAACCGGGAGCTAAGTAGTTTTGCAACCGAAAAACAACTATTAACAGCAATTGGCCATGTCTTAATTTGCTATTTAATATATTTTCTAATTATGGTCGACCTCTCCTCGCACGGGCTAATTACCGCGTATAGGGGAGCGTCCCACGGGTGGCGGATGTGGGGATGGTCTGTGGAAACTCTTTGGAAGTTCCTCTGGGTCAAGTCCGATGGACTCGCCAATGAGAGAGACCTTCCAGACTTGCTGAACAGAGGTGGGCGTTT